AAAATCATTGAAATGAATTTGATGGACAGTATGGATCTGTACGTTTCAGTTTACGAATGATTTCAGTTTCTTTTTCGCTGAAGTTTAGATTGATTTTTCTCGTTTAAAAGTATCAAGTGAAATTGAAAATTTTTATAGTAAAATAATATCCTCAATAAAATATTGCATGGCATTGAACTTCGTTTCAATATTCTAGATGAATTAAATCTTTCTAAATTCTGATATTTTTATATCTATAATTTAGTGAACGAACTAATAAATTCTTCATTAAAAACAAAAAAAATAACCAAAAAATTTTCTAAAAGATATGAGCAAATAAGCGTCGGAGCAACGAAGGAGTTAGGTCTGGAAGAGTTACTTGAGAAGATGCAACGTGAATGGGACACTGTGCTCTTCACGACTACACCCTTCAAGGACAGTCGCGTCAACATATTGACATCGCTAGACGATATTCAAGCGATGCTCGAGGAGCAAATCGTTAAAGTGCAAGCGATGAGGGGTTCCGCCTTCGTTAAACCCATCGCCACCGAGGTCAAAAACTTTTACGAGCTTTTACTTCGAATTTCACGTACATTAGAAGAATGGGCTAAAGTACGTATTTCAAACGAGATAAATATTCGAATAGAATTATTTAAACAATGAATCCCTAATAGGTGCAAGTACAATGGATGTATCTACTGCCGATATTCTCGAGTAAGGATATCGTAGCACAACTCCCCGAGGAAGGTGTTCTCTTCACCGAGGTGGATGGCACTTTTCGCAAGGCTATGCAGAACGTCACGAGGGAACCTCGGGTCCGCGAAAATGCCGGCGCGGTAAGCATTTAGATACATGTACGTGTGTATCTATCTATCTCTTCCTTGAGTGTTTGCCAGGAGATTCGAACATATACAGAGGAGGGGCTACAAAGATGGACGTGTACTTCGCCCGTTTTTGCGTGAGCTTTAATTAAGTACCAATCACAATTTGCTATATAGTTAATATTGATTCGTAATTATTCATGTTTTCCTCAATGACAAAATTTTTCATTATTTTATATTTTACGTTTTTGCACGTCGATGTCAAATGATTTAGCTATAAAACTTTTAATTGAATAACCTACATAACAGACGTGACGAGAATAGGTGACTTATATGACGTAAACACGTACATTTATTTCTTTTGAAAACATAATCTCTGTTATATGTCTTTCCGAATCGTAAAAAATTCAAATTCAGTTAGTTGAATTTGAGAGATTTCTAGTTCACGAATTCTCTCGCTCTCGCTTCAAAAGCCATTATTTCCATTTGAATGCTTCGATTGAAAGCTCCCTTCCGAAGTTTACTATCAAGAATGAGACGATTTTCTCTCTTCGTCATTTTACTTGCCAACTCACTTTAATCTTCTTATACAAACACTACTTTTTTATATAAATGAAAAATAGTGGTTTGATTGCAATTCAAATATTTAAATACTGATATACGTATCCAGAAGAAGTACTTTTAAACATCGTACCGTCGAACGTTGCTGCTATTATCTGTTGCAAAACTAGATCATCCAACAATTGTCCCCCGTGATGAACGCTCTGGTAATCCTCTGCCCTAAATTCATTGTGTATACTCTGAGTACAACGAAAACAAAACGAACTAACACAGCTTGCGATGATACAGCTGCTTTGACAATATATGCTTGCGACACGATGAGAAGCAAATGAGAGAGAAAGTATTGATTTCAGTTAGGCTTGCGGGAGGCGATGGAAAGCGCAAATGAACTGATGGAGCGGGTTAACGAAGGCGTGGCGAATTACCTCGAGAAGAAGCGATTGTTCTTCCCTAGATTTTTCTTTCTCAGCAATGACGATATGCTTGAGATACTTTCTGAGACGAAGGATCCGCTCAGGGTACAACCTCATTTGAAAAAATGCTTTGAGGGTATTGCCAAACTTGGGTGTGTACACTCGCATTCTCGATGATTTGTTAGTGATTCAAATGAAAATGTCTTGCAGATTTAATGAAAAACTAGAGATCTACTCGTTCGTTAGTGATGATAAAGAGGAAATCATGATTCAGGAACTGATATCTACAGAAGCTGCACGTGGCTGTGTCGAGAAGTGGCTTGTTCAAGTGAGATTCTACTCTTCTTCTGAATTGATTTTTCATTATGTTTAAGAGCTGTCAATACTATTCATTTCATTCATTGACTATTTAGTGCCTTCGTGTGTTGTTAAAATTTGCTCGTCATTCTCATGATGAGTTATTGAAGCATCATTCAGTTTTTATTAAGCTAGACTTTTCACAACTTTAACATGAAAATATGATTCGAAATTATTATTGAATCAAATTCAAAAATTTTTTTTATTTCCATTGATTTTTATCAAATTCCCGAAACTTTAGGAGTCAATATAGAAACTTCTTGACGTCACTTTCAAATCTTTAATCATAACACTCGACTACTTGAGCAAATTTATTACAATCATTTTCACAAGCTGCCACAATAATAACAATAAACTTTTAAAAAAAGACCTTAATAAGTCAGAGAAAAATTTTCGGGAGAATTCTTGTGATTTGATGGAATTTTCGTAAACAATTAATTCATCTCTCATGAGAGTTTACATTTAAAATTGTTTCACGCTCTATTTCCCACAAGTGTCCCGATTTTAAAAAGCTCTTCAACAAATCGAATTTTAAACATAGGTTGAAGAACAAATGGTTGCATCGGTTCGTCATGAGATCCTTATGAGCTATCACGATTACGAGGTCAATGAGCGAGTGGACTGGGTGATAACTTGGCCTGGGATGGTTGTACTGTGCGTATCGCAAATTTACTGGAGTATGGAGGTGCAGAATGCTCTGATGGTTCACATGCTATCTGCCATGACAAGGCTTTATCAGAAGCTCAGGAGTCAGATTATCGACGTCGTTAATCTCGTTAAGGGTAAGAGAGAAGCTTTTATTGTTTGCGTTGAGATTTCTAAATAAGTTCAGTAGGTTTCATAAAAATTATACTTGTTTGAAGAAGAACTTTGAATATAGGCTTAGAGTAATCTTAGTTCGAAAGTATGAATGTTATGATTCTTCTAAGCGTATTTTAGAAACAAATTTTACATCATGTTCAAAGTTCATAATTGTTCTAATTGTACTAACGAAGTTCTTATTTTAAATATACAGCGAATTTAACCAGTTTTTCATTTTCTTTGTGATTTTTAATTATGGGAGTCAACCTTTGCGGATCGAACACTCAACATAAATAATAAGATTTTTTCATCCGCAGATTATTAAAAAATGGAGTTCTCTGATTCACAGCGTACTTACTTTAAGAATTAATCTTCTTAATGTAAGAACTGTTCATTTAGTAAAAATCAAACTATGTTCTCAGACAACAAATGTTATCAGGCAAAAATCGCGCAAATTACTTTTGCATGTTAAAAGAAGCTCAAAAGGATTAATGAAATCACATTTTAATAGGACCGTTATCAAAGCAGAACCGAACGACATTAAACGCTCTAATTACAATAGACGTTCACGCGCAAGATGTCGTTAAGTCTCTCATCGATAAGAAGATTATCAACGAAACAGACTTCGAGTGGCTGGCACAGCTACGTTATTATTGGGAGGATGACGCCATAGTACGAATAATAAACGCCAGTGTTCCATACGCTTACGAATACTTGGGAAATTGTCCTCGTCTCGTTATAACTCCTTTAACTGACAGGTTATTTGAAGTTAATCCTCGAGATGTATCTTTTCATTTTGCATTTATGTTGCGCGAAACATTGACAGAATCTAAATTGGATTTTCATTCGCGACACGTTCAGATTGATCACAACTTATTTACAAATACAGTCAATATAGTTTTCAAACTTGATGAATATTCACTTTTTAATTAGATTGAATTTTTTTAATAAGACATTTTATTTTAAAATTAAAACTAATGATCTACATTTCGAAGACACATTTTACGAATATAGCAAATTACAGAATTTTTTTCATGGTATAATTATTAAAAAAACAATTATTTTTTATTAATAATAGGGCGATTATAAATTATAAATTAACTTACTACTGAGAAAAAATGTTAATTCGTTCACTCTAAATTTTTCTGACAGATGCTACCGGACACTCATCGGTGCATACGCACTTCATCTCAACGGAGCACCCGAGGGTCCAGCCGGTACTGGCAAAACCGAAACAACGAAAGATTTAGCCCGAGCATTGGCAGTACAATGCGTTGTATTCAACTGCTCGGATGGTCTTGATTACAAGAACATGGGAAAGTTCTTTAAAGGTTTAGCTTCTTGCGGTGCTTGGGCTTGCTTCGATGAATTTAATCGCATTGAGCTTGAGGTACTGTCGGTTGTTGCGCAGCAGATACTTTGTATCGTTCAAGCCGTACGAGCTCATTTGGATAAATTCATATTCGAAGTATGTGTGAAATTTTCAAAACTTTGATGAATTGTGTAAGTAAAGGATGATTTTTTTTCAAGGGAACAGAATTGAATTTGAATCCTGCGGTATACGTATGCATTACAATGAATCCAGGCTATGCTGGTCGTTCGGAACTACCAGATAACTTGAAAGTACTATTTCGTACAGTTGCTATGATGGTACCAGATTACGCATTGATCGGTGAGATTTTCTTATACTCGTCAGGATTCGCTGACGCACGAACTTTATCTGTGAAAATCGTTACGACTTACAAACTTTGCTCAGAGCAATTATCATCTCAGTCTCATTACGATTACGGCATGAGAGCTGTAAAAACTGTCTTAACGGCTGCGCAAAATATTAAGTTACGTTTCCCGGATGAAGATGAAACAATCCTTTTGTTGAGGTCAATAGTCGACGTTAATCTTCCGAAATTCTTAGCGCACGATGTTCCTTTGTTTCAAGGCATAATTTCTGATTTATTTCCTGGGGTCGAATTGCCTTCGCCAAGTTATGATGTACTTTTGAAAGCAATCAGTGAAATTGCGACGAGAAGAAATCTTCAAAAAACAGACGGATTTTTATTGAAAATTGTACAAACTTACGAAATGATGATCGTTAGACATGGATTTATGTTGGTTGGTGATCCATGTGGAGGTAAGTGAACAATATTTTTAAGTTACGAATAAATTTAAATGATATGATGATTGTCAGGTAAGACAACCGTCTTACATACACTAGCTGATGCATTGACTTTGATGCACGAATGGGGTGATGAAAATGGAGCAGTGACAAAATTTATCACTATTAATCCCAAATCTATAACCATGGGCCAACTGTATGGGCAATTTGATCCAATTTCATCCGAATGGACAGACGGAGTATGCGCTGTAGCTTTCAGAAAATATTGCAGCGAAGAGTCAGCAGACCGAAAATGGCTAATTTTTGATGGTCCAGTAGACGCTGTATGGATTGAAAATTTGAACACCGTACTGGACGACAATAAAAAGTTGTGTCTCACTTCCGGAGAAGTCATGCAAATGACGGGAGTAATGTCGATGATATTTGAAGTGATGGATCTATTGCAAGCTTCGCCGGCTACAGTTTCACGATGTGGTATGATCTATATCGAACCTCATGTACTTGGTTGGCGACCAATTGTCAAATCATGGGCGAGTAACGTGAATCCCATTTGGAGAGTTAATCATGAGGATGTCATAGCGCAATTAATCGAGTGGCTGTTTGAACCTTGTCTGGAATTCACAAGAAAGAAGTGCCATCTAACTTTACACGCTGGTCAAATTAATCAGATTATGGCAGCGATGAATCTCATTGAAATGCACATGAATGATGCTGTTGAGGAAAATGATGAGGTTGACTCGTATGTTGACTTTTGGCTTCAAGCTTCATTTTTGATAGCTGTAATTTGGGGTATAGGTGGGACGTTAGATGTTGATTCGCGTGAGAAGTTTAATGATTTTGTCGTGACGATCTGGAAAGGTGAAAACGACAATTACCCAATACCCCCTGCTTTAATGGACACGATCGGTATACCTAGTGATAATTTGATCCACGATAACTTTTACATATTTAAAGGTAAAGGTACATGGAAATTCTTTGGTGAAGTTATCAAAACAGAACCCATTGTTGAAACTCAGAGTATAGGACAGATGTTGATACCTACGATTGATACTGTTAAGTATCAGTATATATTTTTGAGGCATATCAAACACAAGAAACGTTTTTTGTTGTATGGAAAAACTGGAACAGGAAAGAGTTTTTATATACAGGATATGATAATAAATAAATTGAACAATGAAGCTTTTTTGCCAAATTTCATAACTTTTACTGCAAGAACAACTGCCGCTCAAACGCAAGACCTTGTTATTTCTAAATTATTCAAAAGAAGGAAAGGCCACTATGGTCCGATGGGTGATGCTCAATGTATATGTTTTATTGATGACGTAAATATGCCTGCTAAAGAAGTTTATGGAGCTCAACCAGCCATAGAACTACTACGTCAATTTTTCGATCACAACCTCTGGTATGATTTAAAGGAACCGGAAGTTGTGAGAGTGTACAACACGATGTTTGTTTGCGCTATGGCACCTCCAGGAGGTAGCAGACAAGAAGTCTATGCCAGATTTTTAAGGCATTTTAATCTTTATGAGATCAGCGAATTTTCAAATGACAGTATTTCTCGTATTTTCGTGAATATTGCTCTTTATGGTCTCAAAAGAAAAGGATTTGCATCAGATATTAATGCAACTGTCAACAGTATTGTAACCGCCACAATGAATATTTTCGAAGAGGCAAGAGTTGGTCTTCGACCAACACCTGCTAAGTCTCATTATTTATTTAATCTTCGTGACTTTGCTAGGGTGATAACAGGATGTGCGATGATCAGAAAAGAATCTGCAGAAACACGAGAAACATTTATCAGATTATGGACTCACGAGATTTTGCGAGTGTTTGGTGATCGACTGATAGATTCATTAGATTCAAAATGGCTTTTCGAACGAATTCGAGAAACAGTAAAAACTTTCAAAGACACATTTGATAATGTCTTTGACGATTTGCCAAAGTACGACGGTAAATTAACAGAAGAAAGTCTTCAACATCTAATTTTTGGTAATTTTATGGATATGGATGCGGTAGATGAGGACCGAAAGTATGAAGAAATTATTTCTGTAGATGCTTACCTTGAAGTGACTACCTTATGTCTTGAGGAATATAATTCAACGCATAAAAACAAAATGGATATTGTTCTTTTTCGTTACGCACTTGAACATTTGGCGAGAATATGCCGAGTTTTAGCCATACCAGCTGGAAGTTTATTAATGGTCGGAGTTGGTGGATCTGGAAGACAATCTTTGACTAAACTTGCGGCGCAAATGACGAACTGCGGTCTCTTTCAACCGGAGATTGGTAGTAATTATGGAGTTAATGAATGGAGAGATGATATAAAAAAGGTTTTAAAAGTCGCTGGTAGTGGGAAAGATACAGTATTTTTGTTCACGGAAGGTCAAATTAAAGAAGAAGTATTCCTTAGTGATATCGATGGTCTTTTGAATTCAGGGGAAGCTCCAAATCTGTTAAACATAGAAGAGAAACAAGAAATAGTTGAAGCTACAAGATTGGCTGCTCAAGGTGGAAATCGTAATCTAGATATCTCTGTACTATCTATCCTTAGATTCTTCGTTAATCGTTGCAAAGAAAAATTGCACGTTATGCTCTGCTTCAGTCCAATCGGCGAATCTTTTAGAATGCGATTAAGAATGTATCCAAGTTTAGTAAATTGTTGTACGATCGATTGGTTTCAAGTTTGGCCGGAAGATGCATTAGAACAGGTGGCTCTACGGAGTACAACAAATATCAACGTCACTGATGAAATTAAAGTCAACTCTGTGGTAGCATGTAAATACTTTCATACATGTGCCAAAGAAATAAGTGCTAGGTTTTATGAAGAGTACGGAAGAAAAACGTACGTCACTTCTGCTGCATTTTTAGATCTGATTAGAGCTTTTGGAATACTAATGCAGGAAAAACAAGACGAAGTCATATTAGCTAGGTATTCATCTGTGAAATAATAATTAACGTAAAATTTATTAAGTTTTTATTATTTTTTTTAGAGATCGATATGTAGGTGGACTGGACAAACTTGAATTTGCGGCCGAACAAGTTGAAAAAATGAAAGTGCAACTGATATCCCTCCAACCACAACTGGAAAAGTCAGCGATCCTCACGGCAGAAACAATGAAAAAGATAGAAAGCGAGAATATATCTGTAGAGCAAACCACAATAGTTGTCAAAAAAGAAGAAGACGCAGCAAACGAACAAGCGAAATTTGCTGGAGCATTAAAAGCTGAGTGTGAAACGGATTTAGCTGAGGCTTTGCCAGTCCTCGAAGAAGCCATTGGTGATAATTTTTTTATTTTATTTTAACCTTTTTAATTTCATTTCTTGAGTAAATTAATTTGTAATAATTGACAGCTGCGTTGAATACCCTGAAACCGGCGGATATTACGCTTGTTAAATCAATGAAGAATCCACCCGAAGGGGTCAAGCTCGTGATGGCGGCGGTTTGTGTCATGATGAATGTTCCACCTGATCGAGTCAACGATCCGTCGACTGGTAAGAAGATTCTTGATTATTGGGGTCCAAGCAAACGCATGCTCAGTGATATGAAGTTCCTTGATTACTTGAAGGATTATGATAAAGATAATATTCCTGTTCAGACGATGCAGGTTTGGATCGGAATTTCTAGGAAAATAAAATTTGTATAGTAGTGTAAAAATTAATATATTTATTTTTTTAGACTATCCAAAAAGTCTATATGACAGATAAGAATTTCGAGCCGAGCAAAGTAGCTAAAGCGTCTCAAGCAGCTGAGGGTTTATGCAAATGGGTAAGAGCGATGGTACTGTATGATCGGGTGATCAAGATTGTAGCACCGAAGAAGGAGAAACTTGCCGAAGCCGAGCAAATGTTCGAGCAAACAATGAATTTCTTGAATGAAAAGCGCCAAATGCTCGCCGACTTGAACGATAAGCTAGCTGCTCTTAACGAGCAGTTAGCTGATACTATTGAGATGAAAATCGATCTGGAGAATCAAGTCACATTGTGCAAGAATAAGTTGATACGAGCAGAGAAATTGATAAGGTAACATTTTTTAAATACTTTTTTTGCAAAATATTGAAACAGAGCTTTTTATTTTCTATGTAAAAGATTGAACATTTCATTTGTTGAAGTGATCTTATGTTTGATTGACCTTCATCAAAATTGAATGTTTGATGAAGGTTTCTATCTTCCTAAAAGTATAGGAGTAATCTTTAAAATCGCAATAAAGTTCTATTAAGATGGATACCATTTCGATCATCAACTAATATTGCAAATTAATCATTAGAGAAATAATAAAACAGAGACATTAAAAACCAGTTATTATTTTGAAAAACATTTTATTTTTTATAGATAATTATAATATTATTACCATATATAATAAAAAAAAAGTTATGTAATTTATTTAGTGGTTTAGGAGGTGAAAAAAGTCGTTGGACCGAAGCTGCAAAAAATTTACAACGTTGCTTTGAATCTCTACCCGGCGACGTTCTTATTTCGTGCGGTATGATCGCCTACTTGGGTCCATACACAAGCTCATATCGCACAGAAAGTTTAAAAAAGTGGTTAGATTACGTGAAAAAACTTGACATTCCACGTTCAGACGATTATAGTTTTGTCCGGGTTCTCGGTTCAGAAATTAAAATCAACTCGTGGAATATTTATGGCTTGCCAAGAGATTCATTTTCCACGGAGAATGCAATTATTATGGACAATACTAAACGTTGGAGTTTATTCATCGATCCGCAAAGTCAAGCTAACAAATGGATTCGGAGTATGGAGAAAAAGAGCGAGCTTGAAATTGTCAAACTTACGGATACTCAATATATGAGCATTGTCGAGCAGTGTATTGAATTCGGTGAGTGCTATTTTTCAAAGACATTTTAAAAGTCAAGTACTCTAATACAAATATCGTTGAGATAATAAACGTTTAATTCTCATATTAAGTATCTTTTTATACATTTATTTCAAAAGAAGTAATGGATGTCTTATTTTGATACATATAGACATATATTAGTATTTTCGGACAATTTTGTATATTTTACATGATATTAATGAAAATATTTTTTCTTGATTCCCTTGGCATTTTCAAACGTCACTACCAACGCGTATTTCTAATTGGCTGTGAAATTTTGCCAACGCGACGTCATCCTCTAACCAATATACTTGCCTATAGTTCAACTTTATTCACTTTCCTATCCACTATTAGTTTTTGCTGGCAATTACGACTCTTGCAAAAGCTGAGCTGACACCTCAGTTTGCAAAAGTTCGACGGCCTTTGTTACAAAAAACTGGTTAGTTAGTGCTGAGATGGCCAAGAAAGAAAGATATTACCATATTAAATTAAGAAAATAATGAAAATGACCAAAAGAAGCGCTTTAAGTAGAAAGTTATGTAAGTAACATGATCGAGAGAGCGTACTTATGCAAGTTACGAAAATTTCGTTTATAAATATATAAACACACTATGTGTCGGGGATAAAAAATATAAGGTATACGACATTCGGTTCGAAAGTTAAATTTGCTGGTCTGCGTGTTATCGAAGCTAACCAGGGTATTCAAATTTCGGCGATGTATCGTAATATACTATTCTTTTAAAAACTCAAGAGACCGTTAGCCAAACCACCACAAAACAAAAATACAGATATTATAAATATTTACGCATGTCTCTAATACTTCAAAAAAAAGCGTCTATTTACTCAAATAAAACGTTTGTAGGTAAACCAGTGTTAATAGAAAACGTTGGAGAAGAGCTTGAGGCTGCCCTCGATCCAATTTTAGCTAAAAATATCTACAAAGTGGCCGGGATATGGTACATTACACTGGGCGAAAAGTCGCTGGAATATAATCTACGCTTCCGCTTATACATAACTACGAAATTACGAAATCCGCATTATCTCCCCGAAGTCTTCAACAAAGTTACCTTAATTAACTTTGCTCTAACTATTGAAGGTTTGGAGGATCAATTATTAGGCATTGTCGTCGCTAAAGAACGTCCGGATTTACAAGAGAAACGCGAATACCTCATTATTCAGAGCGCAGCTAATAAAAAAGCATTGAAACAGGTATAATCAATCTTTGTCATTATACTTGAAGTTTTCATCCGGTACTTTCTTTTTTCTTTTGAGATTCTTATTTCGATTAAAAACAAATTAAGAAACGTTCATTATTGAACTTCGATTAAATTTCGTTATTTTCAATGAAACAGGTAGAGGACAGTATTTTACAAACTCTCGAAAGCGCTGGCGCTAGTATCCTCGAAGACGAAGAAGCAATCGAGATTTTAGATTCCTCAAAAATTCTCTCTGCCGACATTTTCCGTAAGCAGGAAGCCGCTCAAGAAACGGAAGTTAAAATCGAAGCATTCCGTCAGAGTTACAAACCCATCGCAAAACACAGTTCAGCTTTATATTACACCGTTACCGACCTTCCTAATATCGACCCGATGTATCAATATTCACTCGCTTGGTTCATCAATCTTTACATATTGTCGATCGAAAGTGCGAGTAAGAGTCACATCCTCGAACGCCGTCTTTACTTTTTGCGCGAAACCTTCACTTACAATCTCTATCGGAACGTTTGCCGATCGCTCTTTGAACGCGACAAGGTAAAATACGGAAATAAGTTTTTTATAAACTCTTCTCTCTCTTCTTGTCTGTGATTTATTTTTATTCGAAGGTCTTATACTCGTTCATCTTGTGTACGACGATAATGCTAGCGACCGGTGAGCTTACGCAAGATGAGATGAGCTTTTTTCTGTCGGGTGGAATTGTTTTGCAATCGAGTGTTGAGCCCAATCCTGCACCTGATTGGCTTTCTGAAAAATCCTGGGAAGAGATCAAAAGGTCGGCTAATATATCATATTTCGTCGATTTTCCAAATCACTTTGGCGGCGATGAATTGAAATTGTGGAAGAACTTCTACGACTCGGTGAATCCTGAGGAAGCTGCATTACCAGAACCTTGGCAAACAAACATGACAGAGTTTCAAAAGTTGATTGTTATGAGAATGATCAGACCGGATAAAGTTATACCTAAAGTCATACAATTCGTGCGTAAAACGATGGACGCACGATTCGTAACTCCTCCAGCATTTAATATTGCTGGCTCATACGCAGACTCAAATTGCTTGATACCTTTGATCTTTATTTTGTCACCTGGCTCTGATCCAATGAGTGCATTGTCAAAATTTGCCGAACAGTCAGATTATTCAAATCGTTTCTTCTCCATATCATTGGGTCAAGGTCAAGGTCCTATAGCACGAGGTTTGATCACAACAGCTCAAGAAGATGGATGTTGGGTCTGCTTGCAAAATTGTCACTTAGCTGTTTCTTGGATGTCAGAGCTTGAGAAAATATGCGAAGGCTTCGATTTGACCAATACTTCGATTAATTTCCGACTTTGGCTTACGAGTTATCCGTCGGATAAATTTCCTATTACAGTACTGCAAAATGGCGTTAAAGTAAGTATTTTTAATAATCGATTAGAATTGGTATTTTTTTTAATGTTTTGTGTCGCATCATAAATAAGATGACGAACGAGCCACCAAGTGGTCTACGACAAAATCTCATGCGATCATACACTTCGGAGCCTGTCAAAGATCCCGAGTTCTTTGCCGGCTGCCATGGAAAGGAACGGACCTTTACTCGACTGCTCTATGGACTCTGTTTTTTTCATGCAGTGGTACAAGAAAGAAGGAATTACGGCTCGCAAGGCTGGAATATTGCGTATGGTAAACATCTGTATCTTTCTTATATTCATGCAATAATGATGAATGAAAATGTTATTGTAATTTTTATTAATTCATCTTATAAGGTACATGGAACACAGTTTTTTTTAAAGCTTACAGGGCCTTAGTTAGCGCGGGAGCTTTCCTGCTCATTTTTAGAATAAAGTAAAGTATCAATTAATAAGTATGAAGGTTTTAATACTTTAAAAAGGGTATAAATTACTGGCATACTTCGATTGCAATAATGTCATAGAAATTTTATTCAATAAGATTGCATCTTTAAAAGTATCCAAACGATTTGAAAGAAAACTCTTTTGGAAAGTGCTTTCATTTCGTACTTAATGTACTGTATTTTATAAATATGATGTACTTCCGAACGCGAGCTTTTAAATATTTCGCCACTGTCGATGACCAAACTTTTAATTTTGAAATATAAAAAAAAAACACGCACAGTACATTCAACTTTCTCGTAGAAAAACCAATTATGACGTCACGTAGCAGAGTATTGCACTTGCGTGCCGAGTCGTGTAATCGTTGGCATTCCATCAGACCGTAGTTGCCAGTGGAACCAGTCGGACGACAAGACAAAAAAGTACGGTATTCATATTGCCGTTGTAGGTTTCAACGAGTCGGACTTCCAGATATCAGCTCAGCAGCTGCAGATCTTTGTCAACGAGTATGACGAGGTACCCTTTAAGGCAATTCTCTATCTGACTGGGGAATGCAATTACGGCGGGCGTGTTACCGATGACCGCGACCGTAGATGCCTCAACACCATTCTACAAGATTTCTATAGTGACGAGGTCATTGGCAATCTTGACTATGCATTCGCACCGACTACTGGACGTGAATATATGCTGCCGAAAAAGTGTGTTCTTTAATTTTTACTCAAGCTTTTCAATCTTTTTAATTGCGGAATTTTTAAAACGAAATTTTTTTAATATTCATTATGAAAAATTTTCTTGTTATCGACGTATGATCTCTTGTCCTTCATAATTTGTTCACAAATCAGAAAGAAAAATTGTTTAAAAATTTAATAATTATTTATCAAATCACAGATAGTTAGATCATATATTCGTCCAAAAAATCTTCACTCTGCTGTAATGAGCTCTGGTCGTGATTATGTTACTGTCTAGTATAGCTTGTTTTAAGAAAGCGACTTCGAAAAGTTGACATTCCTGTCAAAATATAAGTCAAAATAAATAAAATTCTAACAGTAACATTTCAACAACAAAAATAATACAACTGACTTAATTTTTCCGATTGGTCGCGCAGATGCGAGTATCTGGATTTCATTAAACAAATTGAATCGATACCAGCTCAGCCGTCACCTGAAGTATTAGGACTTAATATGAATGCAGGTATCACCCGTGATCTCGACATCTCCAAGACGTTCTTTGACTCCCTTGGCAATATGCAGGTGATGTATCTTTACTGAGAATGTAATTAGCTTCCGCTTTGTGGCTTATGTGTATCGAAATTTGCGCGAGCTTGCGGCTATTTAGCTAGAACTTGTTATTCCAACAAGTCGCTCGTGTGTTAGGCTAACAAGAGACGACAGTGAAACCTTTTAAAACTACTTTTCATCTGTACTAAGTTTACATTTTTTTTAAATTCAATGTGTACATGTTATGCTCTTTTAACGTGATTAAATAAGAAGTTTTCATCAGCCCGAGAAATTTCTCGGTCGTTATGGATTCCCAATTTACACTGGTATAACCAACCAAAGTAAACTCTTTGAATTCATTCTTCTTATGCACTACATAGAACCTCGCGGAGTGATGATCCAAACTTTTACGAAGTTTTGCCTCGAGGGGTCAAAATACTTCAAGTAACTTTTAGAGTTTGCCCTTATTTCGTTATATACTTTCCATTTTGGTTATGCAATGTTTTGCGTAGTTGCCACTAGATATTTCTCTTGTGCTTTAGTTTTACTAAGACTTCGCAAAATAAATTGGCCTTTTGATCTTGAAAAATTTGTAGGGTGGAGTGAGTATAGGCGACACAGCACGTCAAGATGAGTTGCTTCTCGCAATGAAAGCAGACATATACGAGCGTCTGCCAGAACTTTTCGATCTTGAGGATGCGCAACGACTTCATCCAGCGTCGTATTCTGAATCTATGAACACCGTACTCATACAGGAAATGGAACGTTACAACAAACTTCTGAAAGAGATGAGAAACTCGATGACTATGCTTGAAAAAGCTGTGAAAGGGATGATTGTCATGACGCCTGACATGGAAGTGAGTTTATTCAAAGGAAAAGTAGGTATAATTAAAGGAAAAGTAGAAAAATTAAGCGAGAGTGTTAAATTCATATCGTGCGTCGTACATTATTCTCTTCGATAAAATTGCAAGCTAATTAACAAACTCAGAGGATGCTAAATTAAGGAGAGACGTATTTCAATAAACTAACTGTACGGTTTACGATCGACGGATAAAAGAAGGGTTGTTTTATCGAATTTTTCATACTAGGTTCTAGATTGAAGTCTGTATTTTAACTAGAAAGTATTAACTTTAATATTCAATTCCGTTGGATAGTACAGAAGATTATCGGATAGCTCAGATAATTATTCTTTTATGTACGATATATAGAAAGTAAGATCTATTCGTCATACATGAAATGAAGATTTTTTTGTTTGTCACAGTGCCGTTTGCAAACGAAAGATATTGCCATACTATTATTTTTATGTAAAACTGTAAGCTATCTGTAGCACTTTGTGGAATATTTGTGTTTGCATATAACTGTTGCGTATAACTACCCGATTTTTCGATATTTTTGTAAAGGTCAAAAGATTTATTTTCACGCTAAAGATTTCTAAAATGTGTGTGGGTACGCAACCATTTTATAAAAAAATACCTTTCAAACAACAGACTCTCTCAACGCACATGCTGGCTGGAAAAATACCACCATCGTGGCGCCGAGCTTCGGCTTATCCGTGTCTCAAGCCTTTAGCGAGTTTCGTCAATGACTTTCTCGAGCGATTAGACTTCTTCCGAGATTGGCTAATCAACGGCAAACCACCTGTCTTTTGGATTTCGGGATTCTCATTTGTGCACGCTTTTCTCACCGGAGCTACGCAGAATTACGCTAGGAAATACAAGATATCGATTGATTTGATTGATTTTGATTTTCAAGTGAGTTGTGTGTCGTTCAATCATGTTCAAAGTATTTAATATGTGTACTTTGCAGGTGTCACTTTTTTTAATCAACTTTTACTTTATTGTTGAAAATTATAAAAAGAGCATCATTTTATTTTATCGAATTTTAAACAACGCAATGTTGGCAATGTTTATTATTTTCTACGTTAAACATGCATTTTGGAAAATGTAAAATACTGATAACGTTATTCATTGAAATCAAAATTTTCTTCGTCCAAACAGGATTTTCAAAAAATAACGCATGCATTTTCCATAAAAAATATCGCTTTGTTTAGTAAAATTTTAACCATCTCAAGACATAACGAATTCGATAGAAAATTTGATTGAATTCATTATAAGAAGCTATTGGATCTATTACATATGAAAAATTCTTCTTAAATGATCATAAATTTTCATCTCAATGAATAACGCAATATATTTTACATAAATGAGCTATTCTACCATAAGAAAACAAATTTCGTCTCAGCCTTACGTTATTTTTAGTTAATACTTTCCTTATTTTTCTCTGAAAATCAAGACGTCAGCAGAAATATAATGATATATGCATTATTTTTCAATAATGAATTAATCTTCAAATCAGCCTATCATTATTCGTTTTCTTCATAATATGCAATAACGTTATAAATATTTTTACTTGACTCATATGACGTGAAAAATTATTCAGGTTTAAAATATTTCTCGAAATCCCAATAGTAAATCCTCCTAAAGATAGATTTTATAATTACCATCCTGTTACTTGAGTTTCCAACACCATCCCAAGTATTTCCTACACCCGCTTTCGATAGGTTGCGCTGGTCACCGGCAGAAATGATCTTTCGTTTTTTCTACGTGTGCAGGTATTGCCATCGTCGAGCTCAACGTCACCACCGGATGATGGTGTATACGTGCGCGGCATGTATCTCGCTGGAGCTCGTTGGGACTTGAAGTCAATGAGATTATCGGAAGCTCGCCCAAAGGTGTTAAGCGAGTCAATGCCATTGGTTTGGTTAAAACCAACTCGTCGAGCTGAAATTCACGATAAAGGCAGATACGAGTGTCCGCTTTACATCACGTCCGAAAGATTCGGTACCCTCAAAACCACTGGACATTCCACTAACTACGTGCTGTCGATTTTACTCGACACCAATTTGCCAAGCTCCCATTGGATTAAGCGCGGCGTCGCTTTGCTTTGCCAATTGGATGACTGAAAACAAAGTATTTTTCTGTCGGTGGTTTTCTGATGATATCGAGGATTATTTTTTAAGAATTGTGCATGTAAAATAGGAAATCTAATATTACATATCAATGTTTCCGGATTTGTCAAAAAAAATTTTAAAAGATATTCAGAAAGTGCATTTAAAAATTATTGTATGCACTTGAATACTAAAAATTAGTGGTCAAATTCAACTGTATTCAATGAAAATTTGTCACATGCCGAGAATACCATAATTCACTAAAAATTATTCAATGCGACAGGCTGTTTTCCATTATTTGTATCTTGTTTGTCCATTTGCGTCCTTATATTTCCATATCAAGAGTAAGCTTTTCGCTTCTTCCAAAAACTCATTAAAACAAATTGCAAATCTGAACGTCGGGGCACACACACAGACATCTCGCGAATTCATAGCCTCTGCTTCGTCAGAGCGGCTCACCGTTTATTTATAAAGCTTTACTCGGAAAGAGATGGGTCAAAGCTCCTACTTTCAGTAGCGAAACTCAATTATCACCGTTGCTAACGTAAATACAAAAATATTTCTCTAATAATATAACCATTCATTACCTACATCTTATATCGATTTTGTACCTCATTAAGCAACAAAAGCTCTCTTTGTTGCTTAATTAGATGGCTTAATAACACTTACTTCATACTCTGGATGATTTCCAGAGCATGAAGCAAGGATTATGCGAAAAAATTGCCAATTCTCGTGAGCTGCTAGAGACACGCCAGAAAGGATTACATACTTTTGGCAAAAGTTTTATGCGATTCACTTTTATTGGGTCCCTGAACTTGCTGCTAAGCTCGTTTGGCAGAAAGCTCAAATGAGAATTAGTCGCTGCACTGCTCGTTAATTTCATGCGGTTTTGAGGAGAGACATCTTTTCGCGTGCTTTTATTATTGTTGAGGAATCTGAAAACTTTTACTTTGCTGTTTACTTTAATGTTTAGCACGGCAAAACTCTTACTCAAAGTTAATCATTTTTGCCGGGTTACTTGGATATTTTTAACGATTTTGCAATTGTTACCAGAGTTGACTTGTTCAATAGTGCTATAAACTGATGAGCTTCTGATAAATTTTTATCGTTTTCTTTTTTAACAAGGTCATGATTGCACAAGAAATTGAAAAAAAAAACCTTACACACTGCATATTCATATTTCGTTTATTAATGATGTGATGCTTTTATGCGAAGATATTTTCGAAATTATCGATAGAATGTTAAAGAGAACATATTGAATTATATTGAATATCAGCAATAAAAAGTACTATTAACAGAGGAAAAAAATAAATAAATAAAAAAAAAAAATTATGCAAAGCATTGAACGTTTGGGATTCGTCTTACAAAAACACCATTCGAACTACCGATTGAATCTCTTTTCTTTCGAAAGAAGAGCAATATAGCTTCAGTCGCCGGGCCTACGAGATCATTAGCTACGTACCTGAGTAGAGGCGCTGCCGGGCGGATGTGCGCCACTGGCCCGAAGAGAGCGACTTTCGGCTTGGCTTTAACAGGAGCGCGCTTCGTCGGCAGCAGCGGAGCTCTCCCGGCACATGAATTATTATGGCGTTTCTCCAGTGATGCGACGGCGACGGACTACACGCACGCACCTGCGCGTACACGCCATCGCATAAATAATGGACGAGCAAAGCTTTCGAGCTTTATAGATTCTCGGTCGTTCTTTGCGTAACGTTTAATTGCATAAAGGCTTGGGGCTCAGGGGGGAGAAAAGTCCTCTTTTTTGAGATGACGATTTTATGCGTGAGATTCTGTTCTCGTGGGATGATTATGTACAGGAAAATTATCTCTTTTTTTTTTATTGTCAGTTTCGGGTTGATGATTTTTTTAGTCTATTATTATTCGGCGTATGGCTCAACAGATGCATTTAATTTTCAAATTGTCATGTCAAAAGAACGCTAATTGTGATTGAAAATATTTTTTAAATTCAAGAATTCAAATGAAATACGTCCAAAAAAATATATAGTTACAACTAGTTGATTTAATTTATTTAAATGGAAAGTAATGAAAGAAGTTGCATTTTCAATTTTATGACTATTAATTAAAAGGCAAACATAAAATTCGCCATGAATAAAGAAAAAAGATTAACTAAGAACTTTTATTTTATCATTTATAATGAACATCAGGCTCAAAATCACCCTACCTTACAACTAAATCGTTAGCATCAATGATATCAAAATTTCAAGTACATCATCGAAGACCTCAAGTAGTAAAAAGCATTCGCTTATTGCAATGGTAAGTGAAGCATAACACGGGGGAGCGCCCGTGCGTTTGAGCTCCACTGGAGCGGCGCGCACACACATACACACACACGAACACAGACTTTACACGCAGAGAGTACGCGCAAGAGAGGAAAGGAGGGGCAGCCAACCAGTCAGCAGCGCTAGCAGAGGGAGAGAGAGAGAGAGAGCTCGACAGCTTGGCGCAGATCGAGCCGAGCAAGCCCACGGCGGCTTCCTCTCGTCTGTCGGATCTTTCTCCGTTGAGTAAAGTAAAAAAGTGTGCAGTGTTGGTGCTGGTGTTTTTTATTTTTCGTTATTTTTTTACTCGAAAAAAAGTAAATAAATACAACCCGTGAGTGTAATATTGTGTATCGCCCGAAGATTCGAAACGAGGCAAGTTTTCTTTTGGAGTTTCTCTACTTTCCGTATTTTCGTAAGTCTGCTGCGTGAGCGTGCGGTTATAAAAGTAAGCATGCCTCTCTCTCTCTCTCTCTCTCTCTTTCGCGCGCGAGCATCAGCGAAGGCTAAGGAAAGTAACAAAAAAAGAGCTGATCAATGAACTCTGTCGTGTCGTGTGCGGAGCAGCTAGCTAGCGGCGTCGCCGCCGCCCAGGATCGTCTCACTGAGTCTCTCCCTCTCGTGTACCGCTACTACTGCTGTGCAATCGATATATACGTGCCTAGAGATGAGTCCTCGGGACGCTGGATAGTCAGCGACGACGACGACGACGGTGACGCCGCCGCCGACGGATGCACGGATTTTTGTTGTTCGTTTACCGACGTTTCTTCATTGGATGTTTATATATCGCGAGCGGCATGATTTCTTGTGACGTCCGACTGGTTATTTTCACGTAACTCCCTTTGTCAATTCAATCGATCCGGATGATTAGTTAACGCGAGAGTAGGTATGTAGATGTTAACATCGCGCAGGCAGGTTGAAAATCGTGGCCGAATTGGTAGGGACGAATCGAATGATTGCGCGGTTTGATGATCACGGCTTTCGTCAATTGGCTCGTAACGCGCGCACGCAGGTTCTTTTTATTAGCGCGACGATGACGCCCCGTCACGAGAGACATGTCGTAAATGGGGGAGGCGGTGGATGTTAAAAGAAAAAAAGGGGTGCACGAGCGCGAAGGAGAGTTGTTATTTTAAAGTGCAACGCGAGTGTGCGCGTGGGAGATGTAGCGGTAGGGGGAGGGCCTTACGCGCGAGCCTTTTCCAGATTATTTTTAAGATCGAACGGCTGTTCGCGCTTGAATGATAAAATGGATTACGATTTCTTGTGCGCGTGAGCGATTATTCAACTGTCATTGCGAGCGAGCCTCGCGATTAGGCGTGGGACGTTCGCACGGCCCAATATCCCCCGCAAGAGTCGATATGGACATGGCCTTCTTTTAATTAATTGCGGATCGACGATTATTCAAATGCTGCTGGTCATTTCGTATTGATACGGCGGCTTTTACTGAATCGAGACCAGACGAATTCTAAAGTTATATTTATAAAGTGCTTTGATCTTTCGATAATTCGAATGAAAACCGTCTATTTAAATAAAACTGTTTTGAAGGCTCGCTGTATCGAATGATGATTTCGAAATTACGTGACGCTGGGATGATCTGAATACTACACGGGTGCCATATATATATTCGATGGGTCATTCACATTGACATTTAGGATTGAGATGTACAAACACGCGACCATATACACTGGCCGGTCTATTTTTCGCTCTTCTCGTTGATTAAAACGCTTCCGATCGTGTTTACTTTTCGCAGCCGCGAGAAAGTTACAAACAGTATCGTCAATCGTTTTGCAATGCATTTTGTTCAATAGTTAGCCAAGCGAACATCCTGATTTGCATAATTACGTAAACATTTGATCTTTCATTCGAACCGCGAGTGACATCGATAAATCTTTTTCTCCCATCACAGTAAAACGCAATAAAAATACTTCGTACATACAATTTACTGAATCGATTATCGATGCAGGTACTCAAGCCACTGCGAACTCCCGCAACATTAGCATAGTTGTCCACACTCCTCTCTCTCTCTCTCTCTCTCTCTCTCTCTCTCTCTCTCTCTCTCTCTCTCTCTCTTTTTACCACCAAAAGTTTCTAAAATGTAAGCTTCATACTTTCGAAGTGGACCGCGAAAATGTACTACAAGTTAAACTTGATAGCAAAATTCTCTAGCGGACGACTAATTTCATATTTCAGCGCCTCCGCTCGAAAAGTGAAAAGTATATGCTCCCAACTTTTCCAAAAGTTTTCTCTTCTCTCTCTCTCTCTTTCTCTATCTCCGCTGCTACTGCTGCAGCAACATATCGTGGAAAAAAAATCAATACTACCACGACCGAAGGTAGTAGCAACATCCGTCGTACTACTTACATTTAACGCCACGCCTATGTAGTATGGGAAGGATGGAAAAGGACGTGCTCACGCGCGATGATACGCGCATGAGCGACACTGAATGGACTTTAATTTAATTGATGAGAGTACACACTGATATTGTTTCTTTTTTTAAGAATTTCAGAAAATTTTGTATTATGAAAGAAATATAATAACGTCAATCCTCGCTATTAAAGATTATCACTTGATGAATATTCGAGTATTTTGAAAAGATCGCTACCTATATGAATTTGAATAAATGTAATTTTATCACTTAATCTCTCTCATGCTCTCTCTCTCTCTCTCTCTCTCTCTCTCTCTCTCTCTCTCTCTCTCTCTCTCTCTCTCTATTATTATTAGCGCAATTCGATTGGATTACAAATATATAAACTTAAAACATATTGTAGTCGATCTTCATTATACGTATTCTGTTACTAAAACGGGGACACAGCTTATGTAAAATTATGTAGCTGCCCTTGTCTCGTTGTAACTCTGTCGCGGAAAGCTTTAAAATTCATCAGCTGAAATGGTTTGTTGTACTTTGATTTATCCATTAATTCGGCTGTAGTAAGATTTTTTTTTAACCGACAGCAAAATTAATTAAATTCTAACTTTAGAACAAAAGTTTGAAGGATTACGTAGAAAACTTCCGTATGTGAAAATCGATTTCCACTTTGACGTTTCATTTCTCGGCCCCTGTGCGCGATATAGATATGTATGACACATAGTAGGAAAGAATAGTGTCAGGACATTTTTTTCGAGGTCGACAGCTCTTGGGGTTTATGCACTTGATGTATGTGTCGCACGGAATACTGACGGGCGTCGATTTCGATTTGACGTGCAATGCTTTCAAGATTAAGTAATCGATGAATGGCTGTTCTCTTGCAGATATTTTAAAATTGTTGATACGATTGGCTCGAGGAAATATTGTCCATGCGAGAGTCATTTGACGAGTTTGACGAGTTTACGCAAACACAAACAAAAATATTTTCTCGAAATAAATTTCACCGAAATGTGACGTAGGAATAACTATACCTACGCGTGTGATACTGCAACTATAACAAAGTAGATCAAGTAATCAAACTTTGCTTATCACGGTCGATAATAACTAGCTTAAACATTAAAGCAAACGCACAAAATACGCATTAAGCTTAACGCTCTCGAAAGATAATTCGAAGAAGTCTATGCACGATAGGGGAAATTAATATCCTTTGCAAGAAACTTACGTGTGAGCACCTGCGAGTTCAAAATTACTTTCACGGAGAAATTTTATACTGTATGAGTAATTGGAGCTATATGTCCATACGCGAAATTTTACGCTTTGTAATATGCATAACGGCATTTTTATAACAGGATACTCCCATTATTTGCATGAAATTAACATTGAATTACGAGATGAATTGCGCATCTGTTTTCGCACCATATATTTTGCCGTCGACATGAAAAAAGGGCAAACTTATGGCGTACTCGCGTGTAACGAGTCAAATTAATATAAGTGCTCTCGTGATAGATACATAGCGAGTGTTTATCGTGTTTATGGAAAAGACGTTAATTAGATCAAAAATAATTAATCGAATAAGGATACTGAAAGCGGAGAATTGCAGACGACGCGACAATTTTCAAACAATGGATGTAGAGCTTCGGTCAATTAACGGGGATGGCTAATTGGATGCGCTATTCCGAAAAAAAAAGATAAAACAATGACGTCAGGCAACAATTAAAACGGCAATATGTGCTTGAAAACTCTCTGAGGGACACCTAGTTGCTTTTTAATACGACCGCTCTTTTTTTTTCGTGGAAGAAATTGGTTTTGACGATGGGATGAGGTTCGTTAGCGATGCTCGAACCTTTTCGAGAGGAAATTCGAGAACGATCAGGTTTATTCGTTTGATGGATTTATCGGCAAATGTGCGCACGGTCGAAAGACGAAGTAAAAATAAAATGCTCGAACGGCTTTTGAACGTTTTTTGCCGGCAAATCAAGTTTTCGCGTAAGAAAGCTACCCATTTTTGAAAGTGACGACAGAAGAAGCGAAGGTCGAACAATAGGCGCGGTTACACGGAACACGTCACGTCCGGCGAACTAATATCTCACCAAAATAACGATCCCGCGGAGAAAAAGTTTCTCGCCCGTGGCACGCTCCATTCATGCTTGCTGAAGTACAGAGCGAAAGGAAGGCTCCCGCGAGCAAGCAACGATCTCATCTCCGCCAACACCGTTGGACAATCTGAAAAATCCGAAGAATCTCCGTGCTCGCTGCGCTTTTTGCTCTCTTTCACGCTCTAGCACTGGAAAATGAGGAAACTGGAAAAACTTCGGTCGACTGCTCTGCTGCGGAAGAGAGCTCGCGCGGAGTCCAATTAAGAATGGCTCTGAAGCTTTTTTTCAACTCTGCGCTGCGGTAAAACACGTGGAGGGGGGGGGGGGGGGATATTACGTAAAACGCCGACTCGTCTACGGGCTTTGGATGAATCACACGTATGATTTTTCAGTTATTTTTCATCATAGAGAGAGATACGAATATTTTTGTAGAACTGCGAGTTGAAATTTATATTTGGTGCAAATGGACATGGCATCGATATTCTATTTATCCAGTGATCATTAAGTATCCAATGACAATTTTAGTTATGATTCATGCATCATTTCGACGTATAAAATATAAGGAAATACACGGAAAAAAAGGAATACATTTTCATTAACGATCGCGATACCAAAACAGTTGTACGCTGCTCTTATCAGCCTCGTCAAAACATTCGCGCGCGTATTCCTTTTTTTTATTCATGAATTCCAACATAAATATTGAGATTTTTCTCCTCACGATTGAATAAAGATGCACACACATTGTATCAGTCCGGAAAAAATAGTCACACACAGAGACAGTGAAGCGAGAAAGTGTTGAGTTTAGAAATTCCGGAAGAGCGACAGACGATATCCGATAAGATAGGCAGGAACGACGCCAGACACTTTGTCGTTTGCTATATTTTCTTTGTATGTTTCCTGCAATATATACTTTATTTTTATTTTTGAAGCGTATTCACGGGCTTTTTTTTAACACGATGAAATGAAGTCAACTTCATAATAATTGCACGCTTGTAATTTCGTTGGAAATAAAAAACTTTCATACGCTTTCCATGTCAATTAATTTCACTGAAAGACAAAAAAAGCCCCTGCCAAAATATACGCTCATTAATAGAAAAGGAAGTGCTCGCTTTGAATCACGTATATCCGTGTAATCGCGACTCGTGAATTCCAAGAATGCTCAATCAACCTCAATAGTTCTTTTCCAAGATAATACAATGAATTCGATGTTTCTGAAACTACGCAAGTCAATTGTTTATACAAGCATTTTTAAACTATAAAAGCTGTTGCGCAAATTTTCATTTGTTTAACTAGTTTTCCAAAAGTGAATTGGCAGATGTTATAATCTAGAACTGATGTTCCGCTTATTCGCGTCTTAGAGCCATAAAGAGACTTTTAACGTCGGTCAATCTCAGTAATGAAAAGAAAGCTTGAATACAGAGATAAACAATGTCGCGAGATTTATTCACTCGAAGCGAAGAGAGAACAAAAATGCAATCCAACCTCGTGATACGGCACGCGAGAAAAAAAAAGAACACGCCAGCGGCTCGATAAAGGATGATTTTCAGGAATTAGAGAGTTTGAATAATGGCTTTTGGTGTATAAATTGTAGTTAGTGGTGTGTAATTGCCATTGCCGGTGCTATAATGTTGGTTATCAGTTTCAAGTCTAATGACGCTATTAAGTTAGATAAACATAGTCATAGATAATCGCTGTTTCTCGTTGTCTTCTAATTCTTTTCGAGTTGGCAAGAAGTTTAATTGTTGATAAATATATCGCTAAACTATTTACCAAGGTTTGATAATAAGTCATACTGCTTGAAAAATTTTCTTGAAAAATACAAATTTATTTGTGTTTTATTTATTTGTATTTCATTGATATTTTGTACCCAACAGACTATCAAAGCGTCAATGATGTGTTTGGTTATATTGTTTCTGAATAAGACTCGCGGAAAGAAAATATAGCGATTGCGGTATGCTTGCAAAGTAAAATTTTAGCCTCTTAGATTGCTGGTTAAAGCAAAGATAGTAGCTTGTCATCGTCGTTTGTCACGACGCTAAAAAAGCAGTCGATTTTACGAGCTCTAACTTCACTTACAGCCTACAAATTTCACTCCCGCGTAGCCTCGTTGAACATTTAAAGCATTGAGAGTAACGGGAAGCTCGAAAAAAAAAAATTCAATTGTAATTTGATCGAAAAAAGCCTTGAACCGTCCTTGTCTTGTCGATGAGGAGAGGAGAAAACGGAGACGCGCGCGCGTTTCAGATCGATGCCACTGTGCGCGCACGAAAAAACGTGCGCGCAGTTGGAACAAAAATCGATTCGCCGCCCCGCCCTTCAATTAGCTTGAAAAAAGGCCTATACGGTACGCTGCCGCATAGGTATTTTTATGCGCCAGGATTATTCAGGATTATGCTTTTTCAGTCGGCGACAGTTTTCACGGCGTACGAATAATATGTTTTTCCGTTTGTCAGTGCGAGAATGTGGAGAGATGATACTCATTTTGGTTTAGAGCAAGGGGAAGAGGTCGTTTCGCGCACATTGCAATTTCACGACTGCATGCAATAAAATAATCGTACTTTATTCAGTAACAAGATCGAATCGGAAGATGATCAAATTTCGAAAGCTCGATATCTCTGTCAATATACGAAACGTCCATTTCGTATGAACGAAATATTGTTAGCCTATCAAAATAAAAATATCTTTATTGGGTTACATTTGAGGTTTTTGATAAATAAAGCAAGTAAACACACATTTCTAATAATGCTATCGCCCAAAATCAATAATTGTGACATTAATCACGCGAGCGGAAGCCACTTAAACATAAGAATAGAACAAAACATATTTATATATTTATTGCAATATTGTTACAGCTTTGCCAAAATGAGAACGTAACAAAGGGTTAAAGTTAAATCATCAGGAGATAAAGAAAGAAAGTTAGCCGCGCAGAAATGCAGGGAGGATGAACGAGCATCACAGCAGGCACATGATGATGCCGCACAGCCACTCGACGCCGGCTGGTGTCGATGGGGGTAGCCGCACACCACCTGCGACCCCTCGGAAGGCTGGCAAAATGCTTGCCTTCAGGATACAGATGCTTGACGATTCAGTCACCATTTTCCAAGTACAGGTATGATTCATATTTCTTTTTCACTTGTGTATGAGTCTCAAGTGATCGATATTGACGAGGAAATACTTCATAAAATCTTATTTTTGCGTATGGACCGTTCGATGTTAGAAAGATTTAATCAAAACACAGCACAAAATTATGCTAATAAGGTCGGGTGGGTCACGAAGCGATGCTTTTTTTACGAAGCTGACTAAATCTTCAAAATTTTAACGCCCAATGTATAGAACTTAAATTATTAATTCTAAAAATGCGTTGAATAGAAAGCTGAAAAATTTTCAGCAGAAACCGTACCTTAATCTTTGACAATAAATGTGAATGTGACTATAACAACCAACGACAAACGATAATGCTACACTTCTTCGATGTCTCGAAATCCTTTTGATAAAATGCACGTGAAACTGTATTTGAGCAACTAAATGCGCAGGACGATAACGACTATTTGGATTGTACTCAAGAAGTTTCTGCTTCCACGCATTATAAAATTCTCTCCCTTCGATTGCGGTGAGGCAAATAACGCGAGCATGCGTTTTATGTAATTTTTATCGTATAAATACATTGCGTCGCTTTATCGACGAGCTTCAAAGTAGTGTCGTCAAGGTTAAGTGTCTCGTATATATATAGAAGAAACAGCTGAATCGGAGAGTACGTACGTGCCCCGAGATTCAAAAATTATTTTTAGAGACTGCTTCAGTGATGCCGATCAATAAAACGACTCAACGTAAACATTCGACAACTAAGGCTGGTGGCGTAAAAAAGCAGCAGGTTCTCGCGTATTAAGCGTTATCGTCGTGGTGGCTCTTTCTTTTGTTCGCGGGCCGACTTTTATCCAATAAGAGGTTTGCGGCAGCAAGCGAGGGAATATGCACGCGTTGTAAACGAAGAAAAACGCCCCTAATCGGCGTGTAAACATGCGCGCCTCCAAGTAATTTCGATCGAACTCGTGAAGCACGGCAAATTGAATCGTTGTTGCTCGTCGTGCTATGCGAATTAGGTCAGTGTCACGTCGTGAATATTGTAATTGCAGCATAATCAATCAACGAGGAAATCGCGATTTTATCTGAAAAAATACTCATCCAAAACATACGTACAATTAATTTTTCTTCATTTTGAAATCATTGTCTACGTTTAAAATGACAACTTTAAAAATTGGCACAACTTGCGCATAATTTGAAGCAGCGTATTTATAATTTATATATTGGATACAAAAGTACTTGGCAATATAATAATAATAATAACACCAACCTTTACAAAAGCAATATGGAATGTTCTTTCATATTCTTTTTATTACATATTACAGTTTGATCCATTGAAAATCGATATGAACTTTTTTCAGTACAAAAAACAAAATTAATTTTCAATCAACTGTAAGTATTCCAATAGATACATCCAGCTACAGAGATAGTCGTTGAAAAAAGGAAAAAATCATCGAACCACATCGGAAATAAGATCAATTTTTGGCTTACGGGTAAAATAACCTGACAATTCACTCGATATATCCCGAACAATCGAGCACCAAAAAAGCTCGGAAATCAACTTTTCTCCTCTTTTTTTTCTTCATTGCTTGCATCTGGCGCGCGGCGCATACGTCATCTCTCTTTTTTTTTTCTCGTATGCCCACGGTAAAAGCACAACAACGGGGTCAAGGGGCGTGGGCCGAGAGAATGCCTTCGTGAATGAAAGTCTTTTCGCGTCGAACGGCTTAATGCCTTCATACAGCGCGTCTTTTATTTCACGCGAAGCCTCGATTATTATCCCTCTCCTCCGACCGATTGTGTCTTGAGCTTACGTGCTGCTGATTCCAGTGTAAACGTTTTTTTTTCTTTCTTCTCGACAAAAACAACAAGGAGTTTGCTCTCTGAATGCGCTCGCCTGTGTATACTTGTCTGCTCGTTTTTTAGTCGCACGATTGTTCAGCTCAGATTTCGAGGTTCATAAAAGCTTGACTGTTTACCAGAGCTAATTTTCTCAGGAGTATTATCTTGTAATCAATACGAATTAGGAAATTTAAAGGTATAAGAAATAATTCATACAAGATAGATTTCGCATTGAAAAGAACTCAAGTTTCTCGAAGCTCTTCGAATTCAATCAAGTTACTCATTTTATTTTATTTCCTATCATGTCGAGAAACTTTTGAAGAAAAGGGTGACAAGTTTTGCAAACTTGTCCTTATCTAGTTTACAAAATATGTTTTAACGATTTCGATGCGTGGTTGAATATGATACACTTCACATAAGTTAATTTTTTCCGCAATACTCCTGCACATCAATAACACAATTTAATTAGCAATAAGTCATATTACGCAACCCTGCACAACAGAGTAAATTTTCATCTAGACTTTTCACGAGTTAAAAACGTGGAAGCTAACTCTTTAAAGCTTGAATGAAGAACCGAAAAAGTTCTCAACATTTTCCTTTTTTCCCATCGTGTTAACTATTTTGAACAGCTTCTTAAAGAAACTAATATTAACCATCATAAAATTTTAGACACAGGGCAGGTATTTCCAGCTAAAAAAAGTATTGTTGCCATCGCGAACTTTTTAACAGATCAGTCGCGTATGTATAAATTGCTTCCGCTACAACAAAACTCACGTGACCGCGAAACCATAGAGTTACGGTCTAGTAACCACGTGGTTATTTCTGAGGCCTCGCATTAGTCTCTCTATGTACTCACCAACATTTTTATTAATTTTAATTGTGCACGCAAAACTGATTTCCATTTGTGCTTTGATTATACCTTGACTGAAAGTAATAGATTCACGAGAATAGCTTATTGTTAAATTTTTCAAAAATTAGCATATGAAATTATTCCATTTTTTAATTATATAGGTTACTTTTATTTTAAGAATTAATAAAAATTTATATGTTTTATGATTTTTTCTATACGTAAAATCGTCGTAAAAACATTTACCACCGTCCTCTATTCACCTTAAAAAGATTAATCAATAATATTATAGCGTATATCACGTAAAACAATAAACAAACGTAAATAAACCAAAAAGCTGCAATTGATACAATATCTAATAAAAGAATAACAGCTCGATCGATACTGGAACTCGTAAAAATATACAGCAACGGCAGTAACGCAATGAGATGAGATGAAACCCCATAAATAAACCGTCTATATTTTCCTTTACATATCACCTTGGTCGCGAGGCGAAGGGGATCTGCACGTGTAAAGCTCGATTATAACCGAGCTGTCGGCGTCAAGGGGTGAAGTATTAGAGCGAGCATAATGCAAAAGCGGTATGCCATCGAAATCGGCCAATTGCAACATATACGCTATGACTATCGATTAGCCGCCCCGCAAGCCGCAAATAGTCTTTGCCTTGACGTCGCTCGATTTGCTTGCGATTCAGATGCGTGTTTTCATTGATATGGGAAATCATTTTTCTTTTCGTTTGGGTTTTGGCATTTTACGCACTGCGAAAACAATTTTCTCAAGTGTTAATGCTCGTCTTAAGAAAAAAACGAAAGAATCTTTTACCTCGAGACATTTTTTCTTGGAATACGAGATTTGAAGATTTTTCAAAATATTACGACAATCTCGATGATAACATAGAAAATATGTCTTTTTACTTCGCGGCAAGGTCTTTTCACATTTTAAGTTGGATTTTGTGTGAGGGAACTTGTAAAGTGGCTTTAATTATCAAACTATTTTTTTACACTGATTTTTATTATTAGCGTATTGTTTATACATATATCGCGTGCCTCGATGGATTATAATATACTACTGGAAAATTTCAATCTCTGACAGGATAACTTATCGTCGAATAAAATGTATACCTCAGACAGTTCATTAATAACTCCAGATCGTGATGCGTCATTCCAATAATTACAATGTTCACATTATTTTCCAACTGTATAGAATATTAAAGTAATTGATGCAGTTATATGAAATTGTTAACATTTTTTAAAACTAATTGATAAATTATTGAAAACAATAAATTATAAATCATCTTTGAATTACATGAACAATCTTCTCTTCATCTAAATTTTTCACCGGTAATAGGGTTGCATGTCTAAAACCCGCACTGTATATCTATATTCAACGTTGAACCTCATTAAGACTGACTAATGACTAAATGAACTATGTATATATACCCATCGTTCGTTGTTTTGTAGGCAAAAGCATTAGGCAGAATGCTGTTCGATCAAGTGTGCAAACAGCTGCACCTCCTAGAGGCGGACTACTTTGGTCTCGAGTATCAGGATTCTAATGGGACAAAGGTATGTTGTATGTGCAGTTTTTTAAAAAAGTCTCTGCGCCGATACAAGACCTCTTTATCAAATCATGCATCGTGCAAAAAGGTCACACGCTTTTTTCCTGCTTAGCACCTCTCGCTCGCTTTTTTTTTTACACTCGGCGGAGCTCCGCTGCGTGACGATAAATTGATAGATAGCCGTGCACGAAAAATAAAACACTGTTGGATGTGAAACCAAATATTCAATTTTTTATCCGCTTCTCCAGCAAATGACGAAGTAGCCGATAGCGAAATTGTGACTTATTTTTTGTTCTCTTCAACTTGTTATTGTAGACTTCTTTATTAGCAATAATTGGCATAGGTCCGAAACACAAGATTTGATTAGTTTGATTTATTTTCCAAGAGACAGTATAATTTTCTCACGCTCTACCATAAACGTTATAAGGTAGACGGCAGCTAGGATCATCATCATTGTCATTAGGCGCACGCATCACACTCTAATCGCATGTATATATCTGTTTTGTTTTGTCTCGTTGCAGTACTGGCTGGATCTGGAGAAACCAGTTTGCAGGCAAGTGGGGCTGTCGCTGGTCGATCCGCTCCTAAGGTTTTGCGTCAAGTTCTACACGCCCGATCCGGCGCAACTCGAGGAGGAGTTTACTCGCTACCTGTTCTGCCTGCAAATCAAGCGTGACCTCGCCCAGGGCCTGCTGCAGTGCAACGACAACACTGCCGCTCTCATGGCCAGCTATATTGTACAAGGTTGAACGGACAAAAAAATACCCTTCTTTTTTGTTCAATCGATCGAAAATGACGTTTGGAAAGGGATAGACACGATTGGTTATGACTTTATTGAGTTGAATGATTGCAGTAAAGCTAATAAATTATGTCTTGATGACATCAACAAGCTTTCAATCGTTCCACAAGCGACGATCATGATGTCATAACAGAACTGTCATTCCCATTCGCTTTTGCAGAGTGATAATTTATAGGCTCTAACGGTGCGTTGCGCGTATTATACTTTTCGAGCTTCATGGAGCTTACCTATAATATTGAGGTGAAAAATAATACTGGAAGCTCTTCCATCAAGTGAAAGAGATTCTTGTACGCACGTTCACAGAAAGTCAACAAAGGCATGGCCAGAATTCAACATGTATATAATAGTCACCCGGAATAAACCATAAGCTCTCTCGTTGTGATGTGAATATTTTGAAGCCTATAGGGTCAATCCCGCGAGAATAGCAGCAGCTGCGGATGTCTTGATTACTTCAATACTAGGGATCACAATTGGCTCATTGTCGCAAGGCCATTGTGCGCGCGAGCGCAAGGCATTGGCTTTCATAACTCATGTAACAACATATATATGTACGACATGTGAATTCTAAATAGGTCCGCGCGATCCACGCGGTTAAAGCTTGTCGCGCTTAACGTACGCGGAGAAATCACTGCTACAGCGCTTTCAAATAATAATCGAGATATGTGCTGCTGAGGACGAATGTGGATGAGAGATAAATCATTCGTTCAGGCGTTGAATTTTTATCGGATGCTAATTGTTACTTTGAAGAAAAGTTAGGTAAATCGTATCAAGTATCTTTGATTATGACATAACAATGTCTTCAATTAAACCAATCGATTTTCTAGATTATATGGATGGAAGGTTAAACGACTCAATCTTCGAAGAGTCAATTGTTACAATTAGCATGTTTCTGATTGAAAATTTAAAGCAATAATTTAGAAAATGGATGGAGTACGAAACTCGTGAGGCATAATGGATCCTTTTTTTCAGCCGAATGCGGTGATTACGTAGCAGAGGACTATCCAGACCACACGTACTTGTCAACGTATAAATTCGTGCCGCATCAGGACAACGAGCTGGAGCGACGGATAATGGAGAATCACAAGAAGCACGCGTAAGTGTTCGCAATTACGTAAAAAACCATTCGTGCGGCCTTCAGTCTAGTCGCAATTGACTTGCTGGTAAATAATAGGAAGTCGTTATTGAGACTATAACGCTGTTATTAGATTTTCATTGCTCGAGATTGAATCAACTATGTGTTTGTGTGGAACATGCTAAGTTTGTTTTTGTTACAGAGGTCAGTCACCGGCTGAAGCGGATCTAAATCTTTTGGAAACTGCTAGACGTTGCGAGTTATATGGCGTTAAAATGCATCCTTCCAAGGTATTTATCAACATTTGTTTTGTTTTCATTTGAAGAGATCGATCTAATCCGATTTTCTGTTTTGTTTACAAGGATCACGAGGGTGTACCGTTGAATTTGTCTGTAGCGCATATGGGTATTATAGTCTATCAAAATTATACGAAAATCAGCACGTTTAGTTGGGCAAAAATCCGGAAGATTAGTTTCAAGCGGAAGAAGTTTTTGATTAAACTTCATCCTGAAGGCTACGTAAGTTTACTTTCATACGCTCAGAAAAGGGTTGTGCAGGTGTAAGTTATAACTGCATGTTTATGTATTGGTTAAATACATAACAACAAAGATAAATGTTACAAATTAAGGCAGGCAGAAACAATATGGAATTATAACGGTTATAATTCTCACAAGTATAACAGATTTTAATCATCCTCAAAGGCGAAATTCACTGTGCAGTCGAAATCTACTCTGATGACTAAATTTTCTAGTTCTTCGAATTTCCTTTTGGCGAATTATACATCATTTAAACTGGCCTAATATATTCAAATATGCAACTGCGATATAGCATTTAATTCGTGTATACCCAAATAAGGAAGGTTGACTTCCTTTTTTCAGATATGCACGAAGTGTTATAGCTTGAGCCAGATATTATAAAAAATTATCTTGCGTGAATTGCAAAATAATTTATCGTACGTTAAATACTTTTTATTAATGAAAATTTCCTATAGTTTGTTTGTTGTCTCATATAGGATCCACTTAACTTACTTATGTTTCACTGAAAATGTATAAAAGAAAACTTGTAATGTAATATTACCTTTTACATTATATAATATTACTTTATATATTTCAGGGTTACTATAAGGACACGGTCGAGTTTTTCTTCGATAGTCGTAATGAGTGTAAAAACTTCTGGAAAAAATGCGTAGAGAATCACGGTTTTTTCCGATGTTCAATAGTGAAACGAGTAATACGACAGAAAACTCGAGTACTAAGCCGTGGATCTTCCTTCAGGTATTTTCATATTCTTTCAAAACATAAAAAAATGTTAATTCGTTTGTTAATTTGTAAACTTTTTCCACCATAGGTACAGTGGCAAGACGCAAAAGCAGATTGTCGAATTCGTACGCGATAATTACGTGAAGCGTCAGACGTTCCAGAGGTAAGCTTGAATGTTGTTATTAAATTAACCCTTGCGTCGAAGGCCTCTAGTCACTTATTTATTATCTGTCCACGTATTGTTTGTATACTAACGGGTTACTTGACACCTGAGTGATTATATTATTGGCGTAGCTAGTGCATGAGTATACCCCTACCCCCAGCTCAATGACGAAGAAATCTAAGAATTGTTCGAATATAAATATTATTCGACGTCCTTACCCCCTCCTTCTTTCTGATGCACTAAATATATATTATATCAGGCACTAAGCTTTCCGTCTTGACGGATGAAAGTTTCATGTTGTTTTTGTTGTCTCTATCTCTTTGCCTACTACTTCACTATCTCTTTTAATCTACAAGTCGTTTTAAAATTTTTTCGATGTCAGTGTTGCCTGCTCGAACGAGGGGGTAGCGGGGAGTCAGGCTCATCATCAGGCACGACTTTTATAACCCGAATGATCATCAGTGTTTATATATATCACATATATACATATTTATATACCCTCCGTCAATATTTTTTTTATTATCACACTTTATGACACCATATTTAAGCTCCTTTACGCTAATTTTATTATAATATATTCATGTGTCGATGTGGACTTTTTGTTTATTTTGATATATGATTATTATTACTATGATACGATCAGCCGCTACGTCGCGAAAATTTCACTTTGCTCTATCTTTCAAACTGTTACTAAAAATGTAATATGTTGGTTATACTTTGGATAATCAAATTTGAATAAGATGTATTTTGAAAACTTAGAAGTAGTTCCATTGATTTTAGCTTCGATTTTTTTCTCTCTTTTTCACTGATTAATCTGTCACACTACCCACATAATGTATCCAAATTTTCTCTAATTTTATACTTTTATGACACTATTCCGTTTCTATCTCAAACACTTTTTAGTCTATTAATTTTTATTCGCGACATGGGCATGAGGATAGTTTATTACTAACGATTAATTGTCAACTTTGCTCAACGATACTGCTCATTGACCAAAGTCATTCTCTATCTAACATCATACGCACAGGCTTTTTTCATAGCTTGTCGAATCTGATCGATTTTTTTTCTGATTCACCAACTAATACTGAGTTTTAGCTTGATTTTGTTTTCTTTCGTTTTTCTGAGGAGGGTCAGAAAGTTGCACTAACTATGAGAATAAAAAGAAACTGATAGCGTTAGGTCTGATGCTGAACTTGACTCTCTCTTGCTCGCAGGTCCAATTCGTTCCGGCAGACTAGCAGTGGTAGGGCATTGCAGGGCTCGGAGGGGGGAGGCTATCGTGGGGCCACATCAAGCAGCTCCCTTTTGGGCAGCTCCAGCATCTCTGCCCACCCCCTCCTGCCCCTCGGCGATCCTGGTATGTACACCACGAGCAACAGCAAAAAAAGAGGACGACGAAATAAAAAGAATTGAATAAAAAAATGCTTCAGATCCACGAGTTTTAACTTTTCCGTTCTCTTTGTTTCAGTAAATCTTTACTTTCTTTTCGTTGTTTACTTCTACGTTTGATTCCCATTGTCTTTTTTCGTATTATTTCACTAATTGATTACTGTAATCATGAATTGCTTTTTGAGTAGTGTAGCTTAAGTAGTGTCACATAGAAACCAATCAGCTTTTCCAATAACGAAAAGAATTAATTATTTATGACATAATATAGCAACCATGGCTTACTTGAATAGAAGAAAATAAAATTCTTTGAATTACAGGAAATTATGCGTACCAAAAAGGGTTCAAATTTAAATATTTGTGAATTAATGAAAAACTATTGATTTTGTAGCACTGGAAACACCGGCTCTGTCTCTGTCGTGCGGCTCGATGACGCTGGATTCTCCGACGACTGCGACGAGTGTCTCGATGACCGGGACGATGGGTCACCGTCGCGACGACACAGCTATGTCCTATCGGACGCTCACCTCTATCGACGTCCATTCACCAGCTACGCCCTACCAGGTCCAAGTACCATCACATGTTATCAGTCAACATCAATATCAGCAACATCAGCAGCAAGCCAGGATTGTCTCCACAGGTCGTATCAGTCCCACTAACAGCAGTCCCCCTGAATTCCCAGCGCCAAAGCGACCCTTAACAAGGTACTCGTGGCAGCGCTCGGCGAGCTGTCGCGAGCTGTGCGCGACTAATTTCGAACCGATTAATCCAAGCGCAACGGCGAGTAAGACAAAGGAGCCGGATTTAGGTCTTGCTGGCATCCAGCTGCCGTCGCAGAGCGAGCTCGATAGACCGGTCACGCGCTACGACGAAAGCCATCGCTCGTACAGCGTGGCGAGCTCCAAGCATCCTTCGCTGGAGCGCGATACGGTGCCTGATAAGATTTACAGTAGCTCTTACCCAGGCGCTTCGTCGCTCTCCACCGAGTCTGGTCATGAAGGTTCCGCCCACGCTGGTGACTTGTCACACGACGATTTGTCGCATGACTCGTACGAGCTGCTGGAGCGCGAGAATGAATTCGAGTATCCTGAGTCTTACTCCAGTGTCCAGGAGAACAACGAATCGGCCTCCGAACAAAGCGATGAAGGCATTGAACCCGAAATGTTTCAAATGGACTCGGAGACCGAATCGTTCATCAAACAAAAATCTATTAGATCTACCGACAAGCAGCTCTTTCAGAGTGTCCTCGAGGATATTAAGTGCTCAAAGAATGACAAATCGATCGATCAATACACAGCTACGGTCTTCCAAAATGATAATGAATTCGTGGTTTTCGAATCGCGTATTCATCGCACAAATACACAAATCGAGCATAAATTTGAGAAACGCCATACTAATTCAATCGATCAGCAACAGACCAATAAACAATCGAATCATGAATTTAATAAGATTGATCCCGTAATACAACAGGTTCAGAAACAAAAAGTAAACATGCTGAATGAACTTAAAAGTATCAAACCAAAACACAAAATAACTCACGTTGACTCAGAACTCTTAAGAGAAAAGGGTATAATGAGGTCAAAATCACGAATCGATGACGATCTAAGCCCTGATCTGAACAGAGCGAGTAGACAAACTAGAGCAAGAAGCACTACTAGTCTCGAGGAAAATCAACATCAAAAACAATTCGTGGAAACAGGAAGTTTAGGTCGGGCAATGAAAACAAAAGAGATGAAGGCTCGAGAAGCGGAAATAAAAGTTGACGAAATTGTATCTAAAATGCAAGAAAAGGAGCGTAAACGTGTCGAGCGTGAGAGATCACGAGAAGCACGCAAAGCGGAAAAGGACCCTCGTGGATCGGTTGAGAAAATGCATTCCAAAGAAACTAGACGAAATGCAGAATTACGTCGAAGTTTGGAAAGAATTGAAGCTCGTGAGAGAAGTCTTGAACGACTAGACTTCGAACGAGAAAGACGAGCAAGCTGTCGTAGCGATTTCCGTGATTATCGAAGGAGAAGTACCGAGTATTTAGATACGCGAGAATTTCGGAAAAGTATGGATAGTCTAGATAATAAGAGTTACAGAAGTCATCGTCGGGAGAGACGGGAACGCAGTTACGATCGTTTGGATTCTAGACGTAGTCCAGGTCGTAGTCCTTTATCAGAACACGAATATAGGCATTATTACGATTGCCAGGATTCCGGTAGTATACGGAGTCCCCTAGGCAAACCTAGAAATAAGAGCGCCGATAGAATTGACAAAGACAGGTCTATTTTCGATTTTGATCCAAAAGCCATTGAAAGACTCAATTCTTTTGAACGATACGAAACGAGCAAAAAAGAAAAGAGGAGGGGCAGTCGAAAGGGTTCCAGTCCAAAAGACAGAAGAAGAAGTGAAGGGGTAGAATACGATACGAGTATAGAGTATCAAGAAATAAGACGTTACAGTGAACAAATTGACAAGCTTAGAGAAGATAAACCTAGAGAACGCGATGATTGGAAAAGCTTAGAGAAGGCAAGAAAAGAGGAAGAACGAAGAGAAAAAGAACGCTTATCAAAGCTGTCTATGGAGTCAAGGACAGAGACCGTCATTGGTATTCCAGGTGAACGGGATAAATCGAAAACTGTTTTCACTGAATACGATCCTAAAGTTGTTGATGGCATTGTTGTTGGTTTTCCTGACGATCCAACAGATGTAAGTCATAACCCAATTGAAAGAACTAAGAGCGATCCTAATCCTCCAAGGCAAAGACTTGGATCAAATAGTAAACGGCACATGTTGATGCATCAGAAATCAATTGATCTTACACCGGCTGATTCTGGGGATGAAGATGCATTTGGAGATAATATAGCTCGAAAATCAAATGCTGATATACCTTACACGCTTCATAAACGTCATGTGATGAACGGGACAGCATCTGATGAAAAATCTGACACAGATGGATTGAAACTTAGTAAGATTACTGCAAAAATTATTGCAAAAGAATTACCTAAGTTACCTTTGAAGCATGTCACAGATGTCTCACTCGCTGACTTAACAAAATTATCACCGGAACAACCTCGTAGTATTCTTATAAGTCCTGAAAAGCCAAAAGTAGCTTTAAGCCCTTCTGACAAATTGAAGTCTATAATAACTTCAAAGCTTTCGCCAAGTGTCTCACCCGACCCAAGTCCAAAAATGAGTCCAACAAAACAAACCAAAGATAGAGCATCTTTGAAATCAAGTTCTTTAGATAAAGTAAAAACAGAACCTTCTATTACGGCAACTATCAGGCCTAAATCTCAAAGTCTAGACAAAAAGCATATGAAACTTTCGCCGACAGATCCTAGTGTTACAATTTGTTCAACTTTAGAAAAAATATCACCAAAATATCTATCGCCAACTGATCCAACAGTATCCATTATTTCATTTCTTGAAAAGCGATGTTCTCCAGATTCTAGCTCGAGAAGCCCAAGTCTTTCGGAACGATCAAAAGTTGGATTTGCTGATGTTGTCGAATTAGGAGTAAAACAAGACATGAAACGACGAGAGAGACAGTTTCCTGATGAAAGTTGGGAGAAGGATAGCATAGAGAATATACCCCTCCCGGATATTCCTGATGCTGAAAAATCAAAACTTACCTGCATCAAAAAACCACCCATTCCGGAAAAACAATCATCTACATTCACCACTCGTCAAAAACCAAGTAGACTCATTGTCACAGATCACTCACATGATGAGGTATACGAAAGTGACAGTAGAATATCGGGTTCAACATCTCCGAAACCACCACCATCTCCTAAAAAGTCAAAACTCAAAGGTTATGAAAAACCTAGTATACCAGAAAAAACGAAACAAATTTTAGACAGAATAGAATCACGATTTACAGAAGCTAACATGAGAAAACCGAAAATTATTGATACTGGATATGATGATTTTGTTGAACCTGTGGCTGATTTACCACTTGACGATGTTCCGGTAAAACCTACATTAGAATTGGATAGCCTTAAAGTTCCTGAATTCACGCCGTTTATGTTTAGACCTCATGGTGAACCAATGAGATCTAAATCGTTATCGTTGGCAGAGGAAAAAGCACCTATCGATACACTGTTATCACCTGAAGCAGAAAATAAGAGTTTTACGCAAGATGTTTCGCCTAAACGAATGAAAAAGACGAAATCAGGTCCAGTAAAAAAAGATTTCAAAAAACAATCAAAATCCCTTGAAGGAGATAAGCCTACTTTGAAAAAGAGCGGTTCAAAAGAATTGAAAACATCTCCTTCAAGTTCTAGAATAGACAAATCAAAACTAAAAGGTGATATGCCTCAAGAAATTATAATTATAGATTCTACAGATATTCCTCCAAGTGAGATTAGCATAATTCAGAAAGGAAGATCAAAATCTGTTAGTAGATTATCAGATAAAATTTATGAAGAAACAGGTAAACCTAGATCCAAATCAGCTTCTGTTGATGATGAATTGATTAAAATGGTTACATTATTTAAAGAAAAAACTAGACCTAAATCTTTAGGTATTTCGAAAAGCTTGGGTAGTACAGATCGAAGAGATTCTACTGAAAAATTATCCCCGAAACGTTTAGTTGGTGTTAAAGGTAGCAAGTCCGACTTAACGAAAATATCTCCCAGGGTTTCGCCTCGAGTATCTCCCAAAATATCTCCAAAAGTTTCACCAAAAGTGTCTCCGAAAGTGTCTCCAAAGGTATCTCCGAAAGTATCACCGAAAATGTCACCTAAAACTTCTCCAAAAGTATCACCGAAAGCATCTCCGAAAATTTCACCGAAAGCTTCTCCAAAGAAAAAAATAAAACAAATCAAAATAGAACGTGATGATTCTAAATCTGGAAAAATTATAGTTATAGAACGACATAAACCAGGACTGCCAGAAAAATCTGATGTAAAAAAGATTGAAGCAAAAAAATTACCGCGTGACCAACTGTCTGATGTAGCAAAAGTAAAATCTGAAAAATTAACTGAAGAAAGACGATTGATAAGCGATTTTAATAAGGAACCCGTTATTCTTCGTAAGATAGGTCAAAGTCCTGTCTTATTTACTCGTCTAGGTTTATCGGAAGGAAGTGGTGTTGGTGCCTTACAAAGACAAGAAGCTACGCAATCTCCAACATCTCAAAGAAGAGCAAAATCTTTGGATGCTCCGGTCATATCCGTAAACCGGCTACCTCCGGCTAATGCTTTTTCGAGCAAAGATGATACCGTTGATGTGAATGAAGAAGTTGATGATAAAGACAGATCGAATGATTTTACAGTTGCAGAAAAATCTCCAATACAAAGGCAACGATCAATGCACATAGACTGTATACCTAACTGTAGATCTAATAGTAATGATCACACAACATTGCCAGAAATATCAACAGACTTGCTTTCGAATACTGAAGTATCAGCTCCATATTCAGAATCTCCATTGACTGAAAATCATAAAATAGTACCTTGTTCAGATTTAATATTAGATGATTCAGAAATTCAACAAAAATTATTGAATTTAGATATGAAAGAAGTTCAAGCATCTGACATTAAAGATGCTTCTCAAACTAAATTCATTGATCAAAGGTCAGAGGCAAATGTAGAAGTTAAACCTGAAGTTAAAAAGTCAAAGTTCTCTCTTAAAAAAATACAATCTGATAAAAAATTGAGTGAAATCGTAAAAAAGTTTGTTAAAGTCGAGAAAGCTAAGGAACAAGAGGAAGAAAAGGAAAAAGAAGAAAAAGAGAAGCTTGAAAAAATGAAACAAAAGCTAATTGAAGAACAAAAAGAGAAACAAAATCTAGTGAGAAGTGAAGAAAAGATAGAAAAACAACCGGAAATGATGAAAGAAAAGGCTAGAGTTATCGGATATCGATCAAAAGATGTTTGCAACACTGTACCAAATGTTACTGTGAGTCCGGCTCATGACCCAGCGCAGGGACCAAGTCGAACTTCTAGAGAAGGTACCTTGACACCAGATTTTAGTGAATATCCTCCGGATGGACCAGATATGGCGAAGTCACTAATTCAAATATCGATTGAAGAATGTTCTGATGATGACAGAGATAGAAGTATTGGAATAGATCAGAATACTTATGAAATAGAACCAGGGAAAAAGAAGAGATTAGATTCTGGTGGCGATGACAGCGAAGATACTTTAGATGCCCTAGATACGCAAATACAGATGCAGGCCATTGATAGTGGGATGAGCTCACCCGATTATGGTATAGATAAAGGAGATGAAAAGACTCTCGTGGAAGTTGAATTAACACCGGAGTATCTAGACATGCGCAGAGATGATGATGATGGAGCAGAAGAACTTCCAGAAGATGAGCCTGATGATAATAGGCTTAGCGTAGATAAAAAGGGTAGACTTAGTACTGAACGATCGAGGAGTGAAGAAACAATGACATGGACACCTGATCGAGAAGATCCTGACTCCAGCTCTTGTTCAATAGCCCGTCCTCTAGGAATAGGACAGGGTCAACCTATTGTTGATTGTCAGGAAATAGCTAGAATTAAAGAAGCTCGTAAAGAAACTTCATTAGAAGACGAAAGTAGTAGTAGTTCAGTTCAACCAGGACTACCTCGAGCTCACATGAGTTCAGCTTGGAGACCTTTTCCTTTAGAAAGTTCTGGTAGTTCAAGTTTGGAGGAAGGTTGGATACCTCATGACGACATAAATTGTCAACAGATAGAAGAAGGTAGTGGCCCAAATGAAGATAGCTTTCAAGATGATTTGGCAGATATGCCTGGAGGCTTTTCTTATCCTATCGGACCGGAAATTCTTGCAAGCTATGGTGCATTTTCATTATCAAGAACTTTATCGAGAATTTCCGAACGCTCAACAACATCTGAACAAGACAGAAGTGATCTCGAAGACTCTTTCAAACCGAGTTCGAGATCTCCTAGTCTCGATGATGAATCCATTATGTCTAGTGACCACCAGCCTTCTCTGTCTTCTGATCCTCCTTCAGCAGCTGCTGTACTCTCAATGTCTGAAGATCGGAGAACCTCTTCAGAACTTCCTGATATCCCTATCGATATATGTAGTCGAGACGAGGATGGTAAATCTCCAAAGACTAAAAGATCAAGATTGCAATTACAATCTTCTGAAGATTGGCCTTCACCACCTAGTTCTTCAATATTTGAAACGCCAGTAGTGAGTCACGTAGAGACATTTTATATGGAGATCAAGCCTGAGGAAGCTGTAAAAGTAAACGTCACCGATAGTACAGATACTCCAGGAACACGTAATACACAAAATAGTGATTCTAGCGATGAAAATCGAACTCTACACGATGATTTACAGTCAACTCTTCAAGAAGATAATCAAAGCTCATCGGCAACAATAGAAGGAACAGTGAGAGCTGCTGTGAGACCTCGTTCAGGTTCTCATGTTACAGGTTCTGGCTCACATAGTGAAGACACTTCAATGGGTTTATCAATGTCTGAATGGTCAAGCTCAAACAATACTGTCTTACAATTTTGTCAATATTCTGGCACAAAATCTGACGATAATTCTTTAGCCGAATTAGGTGCTTCAATATCGGATTGGTCAGGTAGCACAACCATTATACCTCAACATTTTTATGCCATTATTGGCGGTGACAAGAGCCAAAGTGATACAACTACTTCGGAAAAAAGCGGAACAAGTATGAGACCTAATTCCAAGTGCCAAATAATAGAAAGTCCAAGTCTTCCAGGTATGGTTGAAGAATATAATGAAGCCCAAGCTTTACCAGAAGAAGTCACAAGTTATCAAGATGTTGAAAAAGACGAATTTGACGAAGCAAGAAAGTTCGTCGAAAGTCAATTTGACGAAATGCAGAGACAACAATTTGAAAATGAATCTCTTACAATGACACAAGCTTGTGAGATTTCTCCACCGAAAATTACATTTAGAAATTATGATGAGGCCATTGAAGAAAACTACGATGTATTGCCAGATATTGTTGATCTTCCTGGACCTATACTAGAAGAAGATGAATCTCAACTTTATGACAACGTTCCAGCAATGCGATATCCAAGCGGTGATCAAATTCGTATGGAGGTTAATCGAGGTGATAGCTCGGAGGATATGCATGAAGGTTTTGCTGGATTTTCATCAATATCACGATCCCAAGATGATGATTGGTCTGTCAATGAGCAGCGTCCTCTACCTGAAGATATTCGCGGTAAACATAAATTCGACAGAGCACGATCTGATCCAGCTCAAGATTCACGACGAATGGGAACGAAATCGACTGAGAGACCAGTTCTAGTTCCAACCAGAGCAAAGTCAACACCTTATTATTCAACGACAAGCCTGAGTGGTGAATCAACTACATCGAGTCCGCCTATGCCTATAAAAGCACAAATAAGAACAAAGACATTACCTTACCCAGTGGGTAAAAGTCCGCAGAGTGAAGGTGACACATCATCAAGTATGGACAGTCCAGCTCATACACCTGATCGTGGTCAACGAGCATTTAGAAGAAAGAAACAACAAAAAAGACATCGTGTGGTCGTTGACTTGGAAATAAAAGATGGTCAAATTGTTTCGAGTACTGATTCCAGTTTTGACGTTGCTACTCTACCACCTCCATTACTACCAGAGCAGAGTATCGATGTCGAAGACGAAGAAATCGAGGAAGAAACAGAATTCAACAGAAGACAAGATCACTAATAGAAACAACGAAATATGCTATAGATTTGGGATAAATATCAGAACCATCTATATAATGGTTTAGTAAAGTAAAATTACGAGTCAATCGAATAGTAATAAAGTCAATCGAGTCAAACAAAGTACATATGCATTTCCAAATAAAGGAATTGAATTGAAGTCACGTGGAATTGATGAAAATTGACTTTAATAAAATACAAATATTACTAGAAACTGACACACCAATAAATCAAGCAGAAAAAAATGCTTAATCTTGTAAATATAAGAGCGAAGCATAGTAAAACTATGTTGACGCTACGAAATAATAATGATCAAAATAATCCGCATAATTAATAATATAAGCATTCTGGTTGAAAAATTCGTTACGTGTCCATGTGGGAATTTGGCTGACACGTTATTTTGCACGTGAATTTTTTTATTAATTGAATTATTATTGGATGATCAAAGAACAGACGAATTACAAGTAAATTATGTGTTTTATGAGACGACAATCATCGCTGAAAAAATGGACAAAACTAATCTGGCTATGATGAGTGCCAAAACATGAGCGTAAAAGTCGCTCAAAATAATAATATATATCCTTGTTCTTATCCTGGAACTTCCATAGTATGATAAGTAGTTTAGGTATTCATTTTTCAATCAATTATTAATTCAGGATACTAGATCTTGACCAAATCGAATGAAAAAAAAGTCGACGTTTGACAGGTGGTTCTCAAACCATACAAAGGGAATACAATCAATCGTCACAGCCTTTTCGAAAAGTTCACGAGCGATTTCATTGTTTGTCCTCGTTAAACACGACGGCATCGAGTAGGTTTGAAAGGAAAAACTTTACGAGGCTAAAGCCCAGTAAACTTTCGTTTTGAATTGCGTGCCTAGTTTTGATACCGTTTTCATCGTGCACATTTTTATATAAAAGGAACGGGCAGAGCAAAGCGATTTGTTATATTCTACCCTACTTATTCTCTACCCTCTTCTAAGTGATTGATTTCAGTGTGGGGTAATTGCATTTGCGAAGCAGCGTTTCTTTCTTGTGAAAGTAAGGAACAGTGGAGAGAGAAAAAAATCAATTTAACGGCGGTAAAATTATGTCTGAATCGATAAAAATACGTAGCATATAGGTTAGGTAGATGATACATTTATAGGTATATTCGATGTTCAAGACGAATAATAATTTGAGCAAAAGTGATATTGAATTATTTAATTACGTTTTGAAGACTTTAGTAGTAGATTTTATCAGTGGAAGTAGAGTGTCTTTCATTCGTCATCGAGTTTCTTATGGTTACAGCTGCAACAAAATGAGGCTTGACGTTTGTTTATCGGATGCATTGTGTATTAATCGACCGATTTTCAGTGCTTTTTAGTAGCTTACTTAAGAGCTGTATTGTAAACTGACCTTGAGCAAGAGATTTGGTTATTTATCAATTGTTAATGTGTTGAGACTGTTTTTAGGGTCAGAAGACCTAAATTATCCTGTTAGTTAATGTATGGTGTGTCCTAAACAATTTTTTTTATTTACGTGTACAATAATGGAGAAAGCATGCCATTGCGTCAAGTTGATTGTAAAAACGTCATAAAATACTAAACCAATCATTGTTATCTTTTAATTTTATTATTCTTATATCACATAGCATTTCTTTAATCCATCAAGCACTCATCTTTTCTATCTAGGATACCGACATTAGATTTCTCAAATGTCATGTAATGATTGCAACGATAAAACCTGTAGAATTTTTTGAAAGTATAATACTTATTGGATGCAACGTTGCAACATTATTCGTGTAATGCTGTTGATTCATGGCAATAAAAATTTTGATAAGACTTTTACAAAACATAAACTCATGTGGAAAGTATTTTTATGCCTGAAAAGTTAGCTGAGTTTTGATATTCAGTTAATCTCATTCTTAATTATACATGAATACTAAAATAGTGTAATTTACTATTGCCGTGAATTAACAAGTCTAAAATCTTTAATTGCACTTGATGCCTTAAAAAATGATGACAGTTGATCCTGTAATTGCACACGATCTACCACTTTATATTCTTGTTTCGTCATTTTATCCATTGAATTTACTCTTATTTTTCTTCCATTGCTCATCGAATTTTTTTTTTCTCGCCCAACAAGAGTTCATGCAAACATTAATAAATCATTATAAATTATGACGTATTAATATTAAGAAATTTAGCATAAAATGGCACCCGTAGCGTGTCTTTATTGGCCGGAATGAACTTTATGCCGTGTTATAATCGCCAAACTCTCTTCTTTTTGTAAAAAGGTAAAGATAAAGAAGGATGTGTATATTCTATACAACAGGTTTTAATAGAGGCACAAAGTTGTCCGGCACGTCTCGTTGAATTTATTTGGCTGTTTCAGTATTAGCGAAGGTGATTGATATTTATAGTCATTACCATAATTGATATCTCGACTCACAATAGATATTTAACGTAACGAAAAGGTCACAATTACACTTACAAGTTAGAGGAACAAGGTATTAATAGCAAGATCAAGAGAATTTTAAACGTGAAAAGACAGAAAAATAACAAATCAGAGCTTATATACATACATACACGTTCCCCTATAGCAAAATTACTCTTTGCGCGGTTGAGGCTTTTCCAGAGATACACCGATATGTTGAATTTCATCTGCACATCTCGCTCTCGAGAGACTGATACATTGTAAAAATCATTCAGATTAAATAAATAATCAAACGTTTTACCATCGCGCGGAGTAAATTTTTACAGTGTGTAGTCAAAGTCATATCGAGGCACAATTTCAGTTGACCCTCTTCGCCCTTCATCCATTCACATCGGTAGATCAATCACATATAATCCGTCGTAAGGAAAGATGAGCTTCCACGTGAAAGCAAAGCTCAGTTAAAGACGAAGGTGCTTCTTGACAGGTGGTGGTGATGGTTACAATCGCTGGACAAACTACCAGAACGGGTACGTGAACTCGCCGGCATGGCACGTGCCTTACCGGGTGAACCAGGTGCGTAACGTAATGGTTCACGCGACGCCCCGCAACCTGACCAATCGCTTCTTACCGTTCAACACACCCATCTACCCGTGATGATGAGGCGATGATTGGGCCGCAACAATAGCGACGTTAACATCATCTCTCTATCTGTCGGCAAATTTTTTTTCATTGCTGTTACAAGTGGCTTCTTTATTTTTATTTTTTTTCAATTGTTCTTATATTCGAGTCACGTTAATTTATTTCATTTAAGTCCATATAGTACTTGAATGAATGGTCATATAATAGAACAAAATATATTTACGTATACTACTCTAATTGAAAGACTCTAATTGAAAGAAAAATTTACGCACACGTTCATTAATTATAAATATTACGTTATAATTATAGAAAAAAACCATTTTGCACTTGAAGCATCACAATTCGGTTCATATACTTGATAAAAATCACGATTCACCATTAGAAAGTATGAGTAGATCACATCAATCATTTCACTATCATAGCTGCCGATTATCTCATTACCTCCTTTCTTTATCTATTACATTTTCACTCACAACTAACAGCGATTGACAGATTTCTAGTCATAAAATAGTCTGTTAAGTTTAAAAATTTTACATAAATATTAACTATTTGCTGTTAAAAGAGTTAAAGTCAATCTCTGATTCTGTTACTGTTAAGACATCAAATATTGAAAAATTATCATTTTTTTTCATTAATGTTATAGAACATTCATAGCTGTGAATTGTAGAATTTTCTTGTTTTCTAATCCTCTAGTTGGTTAGTTTATAAAATCTCATTGTCGTAGTTTTCACTCTACATAACTATTGTTTCATTTGGATCCATTTTCATCAATAGATCGATTCATTTTGATTCATAATCAGCATCGACATTATCTTCATCATCATCTTCATCGTCATTAAATCATTTGTAAAAATTTCAAACGCCATCTTTTACTTTGTTTGATATGTAATATAAAATAATTACCAAGGTGGATCTTTTTGAAAGCTGCTTTTTCAAAGAAATCTTTTCTGTAAAAATTTCATGTATTCGTTTACTGCAAATTCATTTTTTAGCACATTAGCGAGTGGAAATTTGAAAATAGCTGCCACGCGAGACTGCTCTATCCACACTATATTGACAAATTCTCACTTGCCATGCGTTCCTAATTTTCCTGCATATCTGCAAATTTCGAATTCAAGTATATATACAAGTATTCTCAATATAAATAACACACTTGTGAACCATTACGTAGCGTCCCTTTTTTGAATATATTCATTTGGTTGAAAAGTACTAACTCCTGACTTGAATTGTGACAGTTTTGCGTAACGTTGGTAGAATTTTTTCACCTATTACCGCAATTTTTGAAACAGGAGAAACTTTTGCTTACTCAGGGGTTTATGCTTTTCGACGACGACTGTCAAAACTATATATACGTATTAATCACCGATCACTGCCACTTATCACGAATTACCCCTTTTCGTCTTGGAATAAGCCTGCTCGACCAACCGGACTATTGGCGATACCAATTTGTGTATCTATTTTTTTATCAATTTGTTTATACTATGATGTGTGACCTAACCAAGTAAAATACCAATTATCTGATGAAAGTTGCATTACCGATCGTCCACACCTTTTTCATTCTTCTAAACGATATGTTGCATGTATTTACGTGGCGTATGATTGTGCTTGAGACGTCATTGAGAATAAAAGCATATTAATATTTTTAATCAACAATTACTTAATCAGTTATTTATTGGGTAGATCTCAGCAATAAGAAAACGTCACAAGCATTACAAACACTGAAATACCTCATACGCACATCAGAATTTCGTTATTTCTTCGTAATCTAATAACTTTTTTTACGATTGCTTTTTAACCTGGAGACTATCGATAATGTAAAATGAAATAAATGTAATTTAGATTTTTTACAGCAAAGTCGATAATGTTTACACTTAGACATGACCTCCCATTATTTACGAAAATTCTCTCGTCCTTGTGAAAATTGATGTGAGTGACTATGTAATTCACTGCATGTTGGGCATGGTTTATTGAATTGTATGAACAAATACTTTTTTGATAAATAATGTGTAGTCGAAGGCTTATTTCGTATACCAATTTCTTTTGGTATACGATAAATCTTCTCATGTGAATCTATTTGAATTTTAGCTGATTTCCGTTAAGATTTGATTGACCCACCAAACTTCAGTTGTATAAAAGTTGATAATTGTATATCTTTTTAAGCTCATTTGTATAACGAGTGACCTTTCATACCTCGCGTCTTCCGACCGGTAAAAGACCTCGGAAAAACTCGTTGTTGATCATTTCAGAATATTGTTACTGTATCGAGTTTTTTTCATGTGTGACATTTTTTCAAAGTTAATCGTTTATATAAATACAGAGTCACTCACTGTGAAAATTATTATTAATAAATTTATTGCTAACGAGAACATTTAACGATTGGTTGACTAAATTTGAAAAATTTATTGTAAATAATTTTTAATCGACTTTTTATCGCCACAAAGAAAACTTTTATCAATTTTTGAGACCTTTTAAAAAAATATTGTTAGAATTTGATGATCTATAAAGGAAAAAATAATTGTAGATATCTACAATTTGATTGAAAAATGTATGCATCGGAAAATTTTACGTTGAAGTCCTAATCAGAAAAATGGCCGAAACTGCACAAGAGTGGTTTGTTTCTGGAAAAAAAAATCGATACTACGGAAAAAAGACAGAAGGCGGCGATAAGGTATATACATATAGATTATGAATATACAGTATATGTAAAAGTATATTCGTTGCCATGAGTCTCTTCGTTTGTATTCGTGTAATTTTTGAAGGGTCGATAAGTAAATTTAAGGAAAAGAAAAAAAATAATTGTTATAACTCTTATAATTATAACCGTTACCCGACCAAATACGGGGGTATATCGAGGAAAAAACGATGGATTATGAAGTGAGTAATGCCAATTCCAGTCGTAGGAAGTCTATTGTACATTGATTATTGATACATTTACTTATTTACTTAATATAAATATAACATGATAATAAATTATATACAAAGTCACTTTCACAGGCGTATGATGAATGAAACATATTCTTTAAACTTATTTTGTTTTTGCCTTTAGACCTTATATTTGTTCATCCTTATGAAATTATTATAAGATTAATTTCGTAGATTTTTTTATTTTTATTAACAATGTCTAATAATTGTTAAACTTGAACATCTAAACTTCCACTTATTTTCTTATTATTACGGTTTTGATTTTCCATTATTATTACGTATCTTTTTATCGCACTCCTGGGATTGTTGGTCGGCTGGATGACAATACCACGTGTGAGTAAATCCCAGAGAAAAACAACCTTTTATTAGCTGTGAACTTTTGTGTCTTAATAGCTGTTATACCTCTTTCATTTATCTAGATTTTAATTAAGCCTGTATCATGTAGTACATAATTGTGTAGTCGATATTGTTAAACTCTTATTTGCTGTTCTGCATATTATATAATTTATTATATAAAATTGTTATGTTTTTTGGGCTAATTTTTATTACTAATAATCTGATGCACGAAATTAGATAGCTCATTTATCAATGAGGCGTATAATGATTTATTTTCCATTCGTTAAAATTTAATTCTAATAATAGCTTTATTTTACAAACAATTTGTATTCGCATTGGTAGCCAATAATATTCTTTTTTAATAATTGATTATTACTACCGCATGCAAATTCTTCGAACTGAACACTGTATATTCAGTTAAGTCTTGCTCGTTAAAAGCGCGTGATGATTGCCGAGGTGTAATATCAGGTCCTACTTCGGTATATGCTCCGACCAATCACGATGTTAAACGTATACGTAGCCAATAACTGCTTTACCCCTTAAAATATAGGTCACTGATATCACGCTCCAATAGACCCGTTAATTCTGCAGAGCTAGCAAATATATTTTTCGCGCGATGCGCTTTATCACCGTCATACTATAGAAGAAAACAAAAGCAACAACACTTCCGAAATTGTTATCACATATTCTTTTCCATTACAGAATACGGCATGTAGTTTTTTTATAGTTTTTAATCGATATATATAAGCATTAGTTAATTCTTATATAAGTTACGTTATGTTTTCAATTTATAGTTGGAATATTTCATCGAATTACAATATATATTTTAGAAGCTTTTTTGCTACTTTTAATGTTTGTTAATTTTTGTTGATGGCGTGGAATTAAACGAATTTTAGTCAAACTTCTACGAAAAGCGATCCAATGAAGAAAAAAAAAAGAAAAAGATTCGATTGATTCCATTATCTATTCAAAGTAGTTTGTCATGATTTTATAACGTCCTAAATTTTACAGAAGACGAAGAGCAGGAACCTGAAAATCAAGAGATACCACCACCGGAAGAACCGGAACAAATTTCCCAGGAAGACAAAACGGCTGATAACAATAACACGATGTGGCAACGATTGATCAATGGTTTCATTCAACAAGCATCGACGACGGAACCAAGTCCAGAGACGAGTCCTGAAAAGCCAGTGAGAAACGGTGACGTAGGCGGCGGAGAAGAAACCGAAGTTCGAAAGACTAAGAGGTGGCCTACTGACAAAGCTTACTTTATTGCCAAAGAGCTGCTAATGACCGAGAGGACTTATAAGAAGGATCTCGACGTCATCAATATCGTAAGTATTTTCGTTTAATTGATTTAATAGACTTATCACTGGTTTCTGATAAATGGGTCAGCGCTCTCGTGAAAACTAAAACCTTTTTTTTTAAATAAGTACTATTGGTTGGTGAATAACGTATTGAGTATTTTTCTTTTGAAAACTGATTTTTTATCATTGAGCGATAGTTTAGAAAAAAGTTACATAAACTAAACGTATCTTACACTGAAAATCAATTGATTAATGTTTAATTGTCAATTCTCAGTGGTTCCGTGAAGAGCTGTCAAAAGAACAAGACACTGAAGGTGACTTTATTGTGAGCCTTCTAGAATTATTAGCCGATGCGCATGGGCCATGTCTACAAGAAATGGAATGTCGACTTGCTCGTTGGGAAAGCAATGCTCGTCACAATATCGGTGACTTCCTTTACAATACTTTGCTCAACGTCTTGCCACTTTACGATCAATACCTAGAAAACCTATTACCTTGCCTGGAAAAACTCGAGTATGCCATGAGAACGTCCAAACATTTTGATCAACTGTGCAGAGATTTTGAAGCTCAGAAACATTGTTATCTACCGCTTACCAGCTTTTTGTTGAAACCACTGCAACGATTGCTGCATTATAATGACATTATTGATAGTAAGTTTTAATTACACTTTTAAATTCTCTTATATCGTGAATTATGAATAATATGACTGAATTTATCAATAGATTTATTGGACCATTATCCCAAAGACCACACGGACTTCGAAGATTGTCTAGCAGCACGGGACCGATTAGGCGAAACGCTGCTCGAAGGTGTAGCGGTTCTCAATCAAGCAGTAAGCAACAAGCAAACTTCCCTCAATACTTTCAGTCGATTCACTAACACTGTTATTTCCGTCGATAGGAGAACTTGGTTCAACTGTGTGAACTGCAACGAGATATCAGCGGCTTTGATAATTTAGTACAGGAAGGTAGAAAGTTCATTAGACAAGGCTGTTTGCAAAAGTATAGTCATAAAGGCTTTCAACAGCGAATGTTTTTCTTGGTACGTTATGGATTGTAATTATAATGATGTGATTCTTGATGCTTTATACATTTTAATGTTATATTTTTCTTTTGCAGTTCTCCGACATTTTGCTCTACACATTCCGATCACAGCAGCCCATACAATGTTTCAGAGTTCATGGTCAATTACCTTTAAAAAGTATGAAGATTCAGGAGAACGACAATAAGACTGGTAGTGATTATGCCTTCGTCATCCATGGTCTTGGAAATCAGTGAGTACTTTTTTCTTTACAAAACATAATCAATTCATTATCTTAAAAAATTATGTGTCGCCGATATCCAGAGTTGTAATTGGTTGGTGCTAAGAAAGATCGCAAAAATTTGAATTTTCGTACACTTGAAAATATTCGTCTTATATATCTAGGAGTGTGAAATTCGTATTGCAGCAATAAATTCAATTTATGAATAATTCATATGGATAATAATCTACCAAAATAGAAACATGCCGTTCATAAATCGTTTTAAGAAAATACGAAATTATTAATAAAGCTGGAATAATTTGATTACCATCTGTGACATTAATAGTGTTATCTTGAAATATAATTGAAAGAGAAAAAAATTGAATAGAACAAAATAGAAAAAATTATATTTTAATTTTTTTACATTTGTAAAGTGACAGCTTTACGAGAAATGGAAAATAATGATCAGAATATCAAATTTAAAGAATGTTCACTGGTGTTTTCAACGTGGAAACCAGAGAACATTCAATGTTGAAAGGTATTACTAATAGTAATAGGTATAATACTAGTCAAAGTCCAAAAAACCACGGTTATTGACTAAAGTTATAATTGTATGATAACAGAATATTGCCATATCACCAACAGATAATAGATAAAAAAATTATTTATATGATTATATAGAGAAAAAAAAATAACAATAGTGCACGCGAGGCGCGCCAAATAACAGTAGTAAAAGTTAAAGAAGCATTGTTAGTTATCGTGTTTTTTTATGTAGATCATTGACAGTCGCTGCAAGTAGTGAGGAGGAAAAAGATAGATGGATTGAAGACTTGAAATACGCTATTACACAAACCGACTCGCAGGATGGAAAGACGCCGTACCTGAATTTAAAAACTTGTAGTGAGTTTTGACGGATTATTTTTAAACGGAATCCATTTGGATCTTGTTTGCACACGTTATTAATAATTGGTTACAGTCTTAGGGTCAGTTGACGAAGTGGGAGACGGTTCGAGCGAAGTCGATCGTTCCAGTTACGGAGGAGCCAAAGCTTCGCAAAGAAGTAACACAACCGTCCACGTGTGTTGGCACAGGAATACGAGTATAAGTTATAGCGACCAATTGAGAGCCTTCCAGGTAAATAAACAAGTCAATTACACATACTATTTCTGTCTGATAATATTTTTTCAATCATCAATCTTCTTTATCAATCAGAATCAACTAAGTGGTTTTCTGCTACGCAAGTTCAAAAATAGTAATGGATGGCAAAAGCTTTGGGTTGTTTTCACCAATTTTTGCCTGTTCTTTTATAAGTCGCACCAGGATGATTTTCCTCTTGCAAGTCTACCTTTATTGGGCTATACGGTATCACAGCCGTCGGAAAAAGATGGCATTAATAAAGACTTTGTGTTCAAACTGCAATTCAAGAGTCATGTTTACTACTTCAGAGCTGAGAGCGATTATACATTTGGAAGGTGACTCAACTAAAAGTTTATATTCAAGTTGTTTGTTCAAAAAAGCCACTCGAAATAACAACTATTCAATAACTAGTATCTAAAGAAAAAGATGAATTACGATGTCAAAATTGTTTTCCAGGTGGATGGAAGTCATTAAAAGTGCTACGCAACAAAGTGACGGATCGAGCAGATATATTCTCAAAGGTGACTATGACGCAACATACGTGCGGGAAGAAAATTGAAGTCAAATGCAACGTCTTACCTGAATCTCTCTCTACAGAAACAATGTACGCAGAAAGATTACAAATAAGAAATTTTGTTGAGTGTTAATTTTTTCAAATGTAAAAGTGAATTTGTACGTTAGGGCACGAGTTATGTTTTAAAGGAAGAACTTTGGATCTTCAAAGTTAATGAGTTATAATTGTTAGATGTCCAAATTCTAAAAAATCGTTTTTTCAGTTTAGTGTTTTAATAATATTATTATTGGTAATGTAAAGATTATATAAATTAACTTCTGAAATGACATAGTTTGAAAGATAAAAACTTCAGTAGTTTGAAAGAAATAAACAATATTCTCGTCGATAGAATGTATTTTTTTGTTCGCAACTACTGGGTAAAATGCGAGACACTAGGATGGAACGCTTTTAAAAGGCAACATGCATTATTCATTTCTGAGCGCGCTATTATAACACACACAAGACAAAGCAATGTAAATCAATACTTGGAGTGCGAGATTTCCCGGCAGTACATAACGGAGACCAGGAAAGACATGTACATAAATGCGAGAATTTTTTTCTCCGCGCATAAGTTATGATTTTGCAGTTTCTTCTCTCAAATAGGGGCCGCCCAAATCAACAAAAAGTCGTAAATGAAATGTGTAGTCTAAAATGTGCTCTTTAGTCAAATGTAAACCTTATGCAAAAAATACTTAGTCGAAAACTAGGTACTTTGTCGGGTGCTGATTCCCTTTTAGTAACTTTTTGCATAGGGTACTTTTAACAATGCAGTTTTTTCAAGATACTTTTATGACGGATTTATATATCAATTTACAATTCTGAAGCAATAATCAAGACTGCAAACGATTAATGTCTAAGTATCTATGTAAACAATTAATCATTATGCAAATAGATTTAAGGTATATAGTGAGTAAGAATACAAGTTATTTAAATCAAGTTTAATTAAAAAATATTCTACAAAACGATTTTGTACAAATCACTGCATGATCAAAAAAATAAAACGACTAGAAGAGTAGAAATATAATAAATCAAAATTGTCAATTGTTGAATGTATATCGAAACTAGTTGTCACTATTTTTCAAATTCTTAAACTATTTTCGTCCAAGATTTTGTGAAGAAAAATTTGTAGTCCATGAATGAATTTTTAAAGTTATACATTACAAATAAAAGTTTACCTCATTTACAATCGGAACGTCAAGTTATTTTACACCTTATAATGCCTAACCCATAATTCCAATATCTTTGTAACAATATCTATTGATGGTTCTTAAAATTTTATGATACTAAGGATAATCAATTCGTTATATATATTAATTTTCTATGTTAATATACAAATTACAAACCCAGTTTGAGACCGAAAAGCAAATCATATTTACATGCTTTTTTTTGCTGAGTTTGATATTTAAACTTTGCCCTCAAATTATCTCCTATCAACATTTCTCGACTTGGTTACACTTTCACTGTGATTATAGTCATGAATTAATGATTATTTTCATGCAATAAGTCTTGTCATCGTTTGGAACATGAATTATGTAACAATATATAAAATGATTAGTTTAATTTTTAGAAAACTTATCGAGTGCATACTTAACACATTTTTTTAACCATCTTTGAAAAAAATTTTTTCAGATTGAGCGTAATAAAAAAATAAATTACACCATCTCCACCTTCATACTTCACATTTGCAATTCTTTATTACTTAAGTTCATTTAAAACTAATACAATTAAAAACAAATCTATGTTATTGACGTAAGACACTGATCGCGTTAACAGGGGATACCCCATGCGTAATACTTTCCACATACGACCGTGACCGCGAGAGAGCCTTAATCATACACGTGACCGTTTCCTGGGTTTCCCCAATCATTCTCCTGCGGTGTAATGTGCCATTCAGCGCAATACACCGATAGAAAGACGCATTTAGGTCAGACAACTTATGTATTCGATGAATCTTTTATGAAACGTACGCCGGAAGATTTGCGAGAATCAATTCGAGAGACGATATGCTGACAACGACTATGCAGAGAAATCAGAGCAAACTTTCTTTATCGAGAAATCGATTTTTTCGCGTTGCCTTCGGATAATAAAATACTTTGATATTTTAAAAAGCTATGGAAAGAAATGTCTGTCAATATAAATTTACAATGACTTGAACTACGTACGTTGCAAAAGCGTCAATCTAACGATGATAATAGACCGTCAGAAAAACCAAATTATTATCTGGTGTAAATTCCAGTGCTAAACGCTAACGGAACAATTATTCGAATTATTTATAGGCGCTTTTTTCCATGATCCATTCCGCCCACGATATTATGCACGTATCCGTATCGAAACTAGTTGTTTTTCATTTCGAATTTGACGCGGTCGCAAAAGCCTTAATCACGAATGCCTACAACTGGAATGAAAAAGCAAATTTAGTTGTGTCCGAAAAAAATGTAATTTTCGTAAAGCCATCTCGCTAGTAGCACTCGTGTAGGAAGCATTGTGAACGTAAGAACGTTCAAGAATGTCGTTAGCGGGTCAGCATGTAAGAGGCCATTGTTTATCAATTTCCACAATCAATCATCTCGCCTGCCGGCGTGGCGACGAAAAAAACCAGCGCTCAGATCTCACGTTCAAGTAATAGCTCGCTGTTAACATCGCGGCATATCGTAGCCCCATAAATATCCCGGCCGTAGCGTAGATGACTCCGATCTCAAAGTTATGACGCAGCTGCAATTGCAAAAGAAAAAGTCCGTCGCGACCTTGGATATTGGATTTTTTTCAAAATTCTCCTTGTTTTTCCGGGTTCTTGATAGTCTTCCAGAAGATTTTGAGCGTCCTTCGTTTCAAACTAATAATAGCTTGCAGGTACCTTAAAGATTGATTCGATTTGAAATCGGTTAGAGTGAGCAATACTGACAGATGTGATTAACTTAACAAGTCGTGTTTTTTTTCTTTCGTTACGACATGCACTGTAAATCCACATAGCCAATCAAAATTAATTTATGCTTATCATTGCAGGAAAGAAAATACTGAGACCGGTTTCAACGACGCGTCCGATGATTGAAAGTTGAAGAATTCTTAAATATCAGGTTAATGAAAATGTTTCAGCCGAAAAGATATTTTTTTTATGCTGTCTATTACTTGTCGAATGAAGCTGTATTATTTTATGTTTATTAAATGTTATTTTCATGATAAGATTCGTTATTGCAATGTTTCTTAAAATTGAAACAAATCAACGCGAAGCCATTGACTAAGTGACGATAATCAATTAATCTCTGAACATCACCGTAACGTCGAGAGTAATAACCGGTTAATACATACTTTGATGTACAAAACAAAACGATCGAAACCATATAATTTGTGCTTTCGCAAATTCACTTCGCAGACAACTATAATATTCCTGAAAAGAATTGATTAAGTAGTCTCAACATTAACATATAAATTCCATTCAACTACAGCAAGTTTTAAAAATAGATTTTTCCCAAATGCGATTCCATGGAATACTGGTTTCAACATTGTACTATTTACCTGCACGGTAAAGATTAATTTTACGTCAAAACTTGAAGCTTCAATTATACTTTGTCCTCTCCACTCTTTCTCTCTCTCACACACACATGTACACATACCTCATAAGCGTTGGGGGAATTTGGTAGCAATGGGAACTCCCAGTTTACGTTGTTTCGCGGTATCAATGAACCTTGTAATACATTACTGATTTTTGCGAAATCAGAACTGGCACTGCGCTTGAGAAAAATTTTTTCTTCTCGCTTGTTTATCGAGTGATAATTTTTTCTGTCTCCAAATAACAATAATAATCGATATTAAACTCTTCTTTCATTAAATTTTACGCAATTGTCAGATATACGACATCATATTTTGGTTTCCCAGAATGCTTTCACCGCTATTTTTGTTATCATAACTTCCAAAATATACTTAAGATTTCTATGAAATTACAACTATATACATTTAGTGATAGTAAAAATTATATTTCCTAATTGATTGTTTATTAATAAGAAAAGCATTTATATTTACAAGAAATCAATCTTAATGAAACTTTTTATTCAAATGGACTTTGATATCGAGTAGGCTTATTTCATCAAAATTATTCTTGAAATTACATGCAAATAGTCTCGTTGTTTCAGGAGTACTCGTTCCTCTGAGTTTACCTTAAATTCATTAGAATAATTACTATTTGTATGTTTGAACGTAACACTGATTTGAACTTTTTGATAAAGAATAATTTTACGACAATTAGTCTTTCCGGTAACATGTTGGTATTTCTGTGAGCTTCTGCATAGTTTACAAAGATACACAATGTTTCAAGACTAATTTGCAACTTAAATAAAGAACAACGCTCACGTTTTCACGTAGCTTTGTTTAGACAACGCCTTGAAAGTTCACTGAATTTGAAATGGTAATCGAGTTTGAATCACCTGGCTCTCGTGACACTTTTGCTAAAAATTATTTTTCGACCGACTAATTAATACTCGTGTCGGTGATAAACTGATCGCGATATTGTATAAGAAAAGTATTGTGAGTGTCGAAATTCAGACAACCATTCTCGTTCTTGCGCGAGTCTACCGGCGGAAATCCTAAAAATTTAGAACTATAATATTTGATGTGTTTTTGACTGTTTTGGACAATCAAAAGAAAAGAAACAAATTCGCTGTTTTCAAGTATAAATTGATGTTTTCTGATTTGAGATAAAGTACTAACTAAACATTTTGACTTTAATCACAATAAATATTACGTGCAATTGACTGGTTTGTGAATAATTATATTAAATTACACTTGCCTACTAGTTTTACCTGTTAATGGCAACAAATACAATTAATCTTCAGTACTAACATCAGCTATCACCTTTAACAATATTTTCATTTGTGGAAATTCCTCTCGTTTACGAATATTATGTTCTCAAGCACTTGACGCCTTTCCCAGCGAAAAATCGCGCCACATATCCACAGTTAGCGTACATTTATAGATTGTAATTCACACCAGCGTACTTATTGTAGTTGTGTAATCGTAATCAAGTTTAGCTATGAAATGTCTGTCCGCTAGACTATAACTGATTAATTATCTCTCAAAGACGCGACTTTGCTAAGTAAGCTTCAGCTCGAGATTGTTAACATGAAATCAGAATTTATATAATAAAACTGCGGTGAACAAAATTATCGCGCGCACGAAGAAATTCTGTTTACGAGAAGCTTATTTTCAAGTAATAAAAAAGAAAACGCTTTTTATCTCGACGAACCTGAAGGATAGAACCGGTCCATTATCCCGTTTTGCAAAGGGCAGATCTTTCTCCCTCGGCAAATACTGGTTCTGCAAACATACGAAGGCGAACCCGTCGGTAGATCTGTTTTTCATCGACGTTACGATGAATTTGGGAGGGAATCTAACGCAAAATGGATTATTCCATTTTGTCCAGATTACATTAGCGCCGGCTGGGTAATAATAAATTAACTTTGCTATGCCTGCTTATGATTTGTTGTTATTTTGATTAGAGCAGCAGTATACATTTTGTCTTGTATGCGTCGAGCAATCATTTACGTCAGTGGTAATTAGATAACGAAAATCGTTTCATCGCTCTTCTTTTTACTTTAAAAGTTCACAGTTTGACTATTAGCTCAGCTATTTACCGATGAATTGCTTGGGATTTTTTTGTTGGTTTCATCATGCGCGTCTCGTGTTAAACTTTTAGACGATTTTAAATGACTACTGTAGCGAGGCTTTGTTAGCTGGAAATCATGCTGTATTAATGTCTAATTAGGTATTATTATTTCAATATGCAAACGGCGAATTAAAGTCTGACATTGATCCCGTGGTTGAAATGTCAGTCAAGGAAACTAATTGGGACATAATGTATAATAAACAAATGTTAAGCGTAATGATACGTTCGTTCTGATATCTTGCGGTTACTGATTATGCATTCAATGTTGAACTTTGCATAATTGTTGATGTGTTTTGTCCAAACCTATTAGAATAGTTTGTTTCATTATTAGAAGTAACAGAGTCTTTTTAAAAAATTACTTAATTACTTAGCAGCTATCGATATTTTTTTTTTGTTAAAATTACGTAATTGATTATTGGAAATTGACTTTTCATTAGAACGCTGAAAATAAACGTTACAGATTTTATCATAATACTATTAAATTAGAATTTTGGTTTGTACATGACAGACTGACAATACAAGTTAGTAATATTGCAAAAGAAAAATTATAATGCACTTTTAACATGGAAACTAAACTTCTATGAATAACCATACGATTCTACATTTGCTATTGATTTCGAGGATATGTGAATTTAAAAACAGAAACCATTGCTCAATCTAGAGTACGTGATAAATAAAAATTGAAAAATAAAATGAATAAAGTCGTCGGGGGTGATAGCTCGCGGTCAATCATCCAGTATGACCGCCCGGGCCTTAACATACATGCGCGTGGCAGCCTTGAACAGTGTAGCCGTCCACGGAAGATGCGGCGTCTTAAGAATGAAAGAGAAGGAGAGAGATGGACACCGCGAGTGGGGTTTTCACGAGACGCACAGCACACACATTCTGGTTAGCAAGTGGGAGACGAAGTATATAAAGGACAGCCACGCCGGTTTCGACCATCAATCGATTTTGGTGTTTACTCGCAAACATGCACCAATTCAAAGTAGCCTTTGGCCTTCTAGCCCTTGTCGTCGTCGCGCAAGGTGAGACTGTGCTTCAGTGATACTTTCCTCTATGTTTTTTCCTGTTTTTTTTTTTTTTTTGTTTTTGAAGACAGTAACAATTTTTTGTAATTAAACGGTGTTTTGAGTTTTCCGGCTTGAAAAGTAATGTCGAAAGTTATTTTCAAGTTCATGATTCAAAGTAGATCTTTTTTCGTTATTTCCATTTTTAAGAAAATACAGATTCTTTTTTCTCAAATTTTGTTTGTTTGTAAACATTCTTGAAAACTAATGCTAAAAGTGGTAGATTGAAAAATCAGCTCAGCGGATTTACTATTTATAGAATCCAAATGCTGTTTACTAATTCTACCAGCCAGTGAATTGAATGATTTCTCTTTTTCCGGTGGTACAGTCATTATATAATGCAGGCTCAACATACGTCTCAACTTGTATAGCTTGATTGATTCGATTATTATTTGAACACTTAATGTGTGCGACTATTTGGCGAATTCGTTTGAATCACTTTCACGATCTTCGATTACGGATAAATCATTGTTGTATTACAGCGTTCGCGTGGCGCGACCAGCGTCACGTTGGCTTAAACAGCGCGGCTTCGTCCTCGAGCTCGTCGAGCTCATCGTCGAGCGGTGGTATTGGCGGTACCCACACCAAAACAAACACGCACGCGACTGGCGGTGCGACCGCTGACGCTGGTGCAACAGCACTTGGTGCCGAGCACGGTGGTTACTACAATGGCGGTGGATTCGGCAATGGTGGATATACCGGTGACCACTATAGCGGTGGTGGTGGTTTTAATCAAGGAGGCTTTGGTCATGGAGGCTATAATCAAGGAGGTTTCGCTCAAGGAGGCGAATTTGGAGGACATTATGGTGGTGGTAGCGGTGGCTTCGGACACCAGGCTGGCGAATTTGGACAAATTGGTGGTGGACACGCGGAAGGTGCGTGCATCGTTTACTTACTTAGTTTTCTTTTTTATATCTATTTAATTATGAGTGATAGTTATCGTTAATTTCAATTCTAGTTTTTTTAAATATTTACGGTTTTGGTAGAAACGTAACGTTGGATTGCTTTCAAAAATAGTATACCATTAATTTATTGCAAATTCTAATTTTACTCATTTTTAACTGTTAAATTATTGTAGTTTTGAAATGCAATTAATTTTTGAACAACTAATGTCATAAGTTTTTAAAAATGTTTTTATGTATTTATTAGTATGTTTTTATTTAAAGATGATTTCATTATAAGGTAACTGACTTCGATAACTGATTAGAAATGAAAAATGAGGAACTACATTTTTTATCTATTAGTTTCTGTAATTTTATTATTTCAATTTCTCATTTCTGCATATAAAAATTGTAATTACTTAATCTTTTTATCTATAATCATACATAAAGGAATATTATTTTAATATTTTCAAGTTTTAATGACTTAAGTAATCATATTTTTCGTTCACTAATTTAAAAGGCCGTTCATTTTTTATATAACATTGTTCTCTAAAATTATATCAAAATATAAATTATGTTTATGATTTTATCATTCCCCTACTTAAAATCTTAGATTTTGGAAAGTGTATTATTCAATTAATTTGTTATTTTCTTGTTATAATTAAGGATTAGGAGGCGCTGGTGCGAATGCCAACGCCAATGCCAACGCCAATGCCAACGCCAATGCTAATGCTGGTGGTCATGGTGGAGTAGTTGGTCCAGCAGTCCAACCTATTGTCCCAGTTGGCGGTTTCGGTCACGGTGGTGGTTTTGAACATGGAAGCGGCCACTACAACCAAGGTGGTTTCAACCAGGGAGGCTTCGAAAGTGGACACTACCAGCATGGTAGCTTTAACCAGGGTAGTTTCGAAGGTGGTCATGGTAATATCAAACTTTGATATTTGAATATAACTTGAATATTTGAAAATAACTAATCTCTAATGAATTTGTAGGTGGTCATGGTGGTTTCGTTGCTCCTGGCCCGATCGTTCCAGTTGGTGGCGTTGGTGGTGGACTTGGAGGTGCTAAAGCCAATGCTAACGCTAACGCTAACGCTAATGCCAATGCTGGTGCTGGTGCTGGCGCCGGTAAGAATTTATTGCATAATTTTTTACGATTACTATATAATAACACACTAAAATTACGAATTATTTCCAGGTGGATTAAGCGGTGGCGGTTTCGGTGGCAGTCACCCAGTTCACGGAGGAACTGGATACACAGGAGCTGGTTTCGGAGGTTCCGGAGCTGGTTTTGGAGGTTCCGGAGCTGGTTTCGGAGGTTCCGGAGCTGGTTTCGGAGGTTCCGGAGCTGGTTTTGGAGGTTCCGGAGCTGGTTTTGGAGGTTCCGGAGCTGGTTTCGGAGGTTCCGGAGCAAAGGCTAATGCTAACGCTAACGCTAACGCTAATGCTAATGCAAACGCCAATGCTAACGCCGGATCCGGTGGCATTGCTTACCCAGGTGGTTTCGGTGGAGCAGTGCCATTTGGTAGTACTGGTGGTTTTGGCGGTGCTAGCGCTACTGCCAACGCCAATGCCAATGCTAACGCCAACGCTGGTGGATTTGATGGGTAAGCGAAAATATTCCATCGCGCATGTCAGAGTGACGAATAATTTTACGTAAACAAACCGCGATAATCAGCCGGCGCGAAGTGTATTTTTAACACTATGTAGACTTTCAATACACATTACATGAAAACGTCGAGGCCGCCTTCTTCAATACCCATCGTTTACGGACGTTTAGCCTTGATATTTCCGGTTTGAAGTATATTTATCAGATCATATTATTAATTCTGATACTAATGATCGTGATAGTTTTTTTTTTTTGCTTTTTTACCAAATAATAAGATATGTTTAATAACTGAGTTGAGCACTGCTGTAGAGATGAGTTTACTTACTTAAAGTTCTATATTTGATTATTAATATTCTAAGAAATCATTTTATTAACTATTATTTTTTTTTCTCAAATATTAAATTTACGTGTTTTGAAATATGTCCTAATAGTTTTTCTTCAAAGTATACTTATATCATAATGAAATAGATCTACGAGATGAGGTATAATGCTAATTAACCGGTTTACATTAAGCGAGTCATTAACTTATTCTGTGTATTGGCAGATCAATCTTCTCTCGTCTAGGCGAAGAAGCTGACGCGGAAAACAAGAAAACGGAAGGCACTGTAAGCGGTGCCAAGGGAGTTTACAGCAGCAGCAGTGCATCTGTTGACGACACTGGCAAGGGAAAATTCTCAGCCTCAGCTGGCAAGATCCCCGCGTAATTTATCATAAATTACCCTGAAGACACGCGCGATTTGAAATTTTTTTATATAAAATCTGACTATTCGATAATTTTTATACCAATACATGTAAATAAGCACGTAACCCTGTGCTAATCGACGTTGCTGCCGCGAGAGGAAAAGAGAAGTTAAACATAAAAAGAAGAACGAGGCCATGCGTCTTCCTCGTGTATTTTTGCACTTATAATTACGCTTACTTCTCGCGCATGCTGTGTTCTTAGTTCATAAATGAATCACATTGTGATATTAATAAATACTGATAACATTTAAATATCCGGCTATCAAAATTATTATAGTTACCTATTTATCTTTATAATATTTCGAACTTTTTTATGAATATCTTATTCGTGTAATTTTTGATATTACTATGAAGACTTTATATATTTTCTTATTAAATAAGTCTCATATTGGTTATTTGTCTCGAGCATTTTTCCATTTTTACATGTGTAGTCAAAAACTTGAATTATTATCAAATCATAGAAACCATTTGATTTTCGTATCTAATGAAGATGATTTACGAAATACAATGATAATAATAATACTAACGAATTAGGAAAAATAGCATTTATTTATGACCCTGTTAAAAAAAGTTTATTCGAACAATATTGTTTTTTTGTTTGCATAAATAATTTTATTTCGCGACTGCGACTTTAGATCATTCTGTCATGACTGTCGGATTATTATTACATGCCAAGCTAGAAAAAAGTCTTAGTATTATAAAAGTGGTTTTCGTTATCGTTACGTCTTATATTTCCTGCATATTCAAATAAAGATTACTAAACTTCATAGCCTTGTATTTTTTTAACTTATTTCATGAGACTTAATCGTAGTTCTAGGCAAGACATATGAATGATGTTGGTGATCGGCAAATAACGCGTGCATTCATTTTCATTCTTTTCATAGATTGTGAGATTTATAATACAAACATCGCGAGTTGCACGAATTTACGTTCAATAGTTCACCACAAACAGAACTATTACCGCAGTTATAAGCTAAAATTTAGTTGATGCAACTTCTTTGTATAGTGCTCTGTATATAAATTAATTATAGGTAATTGATAACTCATAGTGGTGACTGCCAATGACTGCCATGGCAATAAAAAGTCAAGCGCAGAATTCTTTTCTGATCATGAAACACAATAAATACTTTTAGGGTCTAGTTTTTTTTTTAAGATAGCCTTTCACTGAATCCATTGAATATAAGATGTGTGAAATGGCAGATGATACGAATACAACGATCCCTCGAAGGAATGTATGGTAAAATTCTACAATAAACCTGATATAGATATTTTGCTCTATTTGAAAATCAGTTCTTTCGTTTTGCTCATACCAAAGCTGCGTAATTATAGTATGGGAAACGAGATTTTCCACTAGTCTTCTTTTCAAAATGAGAAAGAGATTTGCAGTGAAATATCAAGAGAAAAAGAAATGAAAAGAGACAGAGAAACAGATGAACATCAAGAATTGGTTGACTAGTAGAAGATTTGTAAATGGTACAGTATATTTACTTACAAGCAGAATGCAAAGTTTATAAAGGATGAGTATCTTAGGTGTGAGTATTACGCACAGGTTACTCACAAACATGAATCATCACAGGTTATTCTGATCCTTGTTGCCGTAGCGCAAAGTGAGATTTTACTTTATTGTATTTTATTTATGTTTTAGTTTTTCTTTTTTGATTATTTATATTATTTAATAAATAATGTCAGATTCGTTGAATTTAATGAAAAATTTTTTTAATTTATAAAAATTTTATCATTAAAAGTATACAATGCTCGTTTCAATTTTGAATAGAATAATTTACGCCTATAGCCGAGATTCCAAACCATATATTTTTGAGCTTATTTTATTATCATAATTTTTCAAATTTAAAAAATATCTTATAGGTATACATGCATCAGTTATAGAATTAAAATATTTTTTACGTGAAGGTTCATCGCAGTATATTGAGTAAACTAAATTTTTCAACTAATAAAGTCAATATGTTTCACATTTTGGTTTTTGTTTGACATTGAACGATGGTTCAGAAAATCGAATTACAAAAAAACTTTTAACGGGTCATGCGAAAGACGACGCAACTGTCTTAACGTAAAGTTTTGGTCCTAATCAGTATTTTAGTAACCAAGGTTCGCTAGCTGGTCTATATCCCTCAGATGGCTCAAATTTCAATTAGTCTGTTACTCATCGGTTTGAATAATAACTAAATTTTGAAAACAATTATATGTAGAAAAACTTACATGTGTGTGTGCGTGTACGCGCGCGCGCTCGTGTGTGTAATAATTACAATAAAATAAAAATAATCCATTGCAAATTCATATGGTTGTGAAGGATTTACTGTTATGTCGAGTACTTCTGACAGTTTAATTTATTTTAACTTTTTAAAGTATTTTTAGACTTTATTTACCTCATATAGAAGGAGCTGATAATAAGGAAATTGAAGGCGATGCAGAAGGCGACAAACAAGTGTTTAACACTAATTATGCATCACTTAAAGCCAAGTGATAGTAAATTCGTAAGAATAGCTGACAAGATTCCCTGGTAATTTAATGCATTATTTGCTTTTATATGAAGTTTGACTACGAGCTATTTATATTTATATATTTATAAATTCATCTAAATCATAATACTGTCAGATTGTCAGCATTGCGGATACTTGCAGTTCATGCATTAGAGAGAAAAAAATAAAAAATAGATGTTCTTATTTCTAATTACATATAATATAATTTATGAATTCAATAAAAATTAAGAATATTGAAATATTCAATTTAGCAAATTATTGATATATGTGCAGATCATTTTAATCGGACGATCCATAATTCCAATAGGTTCCTTGATTGTAATATTTATTAGAGTTTTATTTAATGTTTTATTACCTTGTTAATTTCCAGCTCCTATTATTTCTGTAATGTTGAACTCAATTCGCGGGTTTTTTTATTTTATGTTAAGCTTTTGATATTTCTTCGTTTATTTTTCAGTCGATCTCGTGAATATATCTCATGGTTGCTTAATTGTTAAGTTTCAATAAACCACGCTTTTTCAATAAAATTTCAAATAATAATAAATCACTGTATAAGAAACTATTTATGTAAATACGTTTGACGTATAGGTGGCTAATGAAGATTCCATAACCAAAACCGTAAAGTGTAAAAATATTTATTTGAAAGGGGTCGAACCTTTATTATTATCTAATGATTATCTAATTTTTTCAGTAAGTATATATAAAATCTTTCTTTGGGAAAGTATATTTCAATTCAATAAATTATCTATTGACAAAATGCAGTAGTTTCTTTAAAATTAATTATACTAGTGATGTCTAGCGTGCTTCACGCGCTCATCTTTTTCGTTTTTTTTCGCATTCATTTTAATATCACACACATATACGCACACATATGCGCGCCCGGGCTTCACTTCGTCAGGATTTTGTTTTAAAAGATAGACTTGAAAAATTAGTAGCCTGACAATCTCCAGGAAATGTAGAGTTCATTTCGTTCACACCATGATGTACAAAGTCTTCTCAGGAATTCTCAGAACATACTCAAATAATTGATGTGTACTTAGTTCATTGACCTTTAGATATCCGGTAAATATGTGGGACTTTTTGCTGACGCAAGAACATTTGAAAGGATTTTTTAGAGCATTCACCTTTCAAAAATGCCATTTAGTATTCATCCTTCAAATCTATCAAAATATTCTAACTTAAATGAATTCGTAACCTTTTTTCCTATATTTCGAAATACTTGATGTAAATAATAAATTTCATCTTTATTAAATAATAAATTACATTTATATATTTTTTTAATTATTCATTTATATAATCTAATAAGAAATCAATTTTTTATGTACATCTTTTATTAGATATTGAAGTATTTTTGGCGAATGCCTAAAAATGAAATTAAGACAAAACTGAGATTTTAATTTATGATATACTTTATATAAATTTTTTGTGATAATTTTTTGACGCAAATTTTTCAAAAGGTAGATTAATTTTTATTTATTTTTAGTATTTTCTATATTATTTTTTTCACGATGCAATAATATTTAATTGTGGTTTTACAATTTTTCATTAAAATTTTAGAGAATAATTAACTTTAGATAATTTCAGACAGAATTTTGTCGTTACATTTTTTTACCTTTTAATTCATCAATTAAGTAAAAATAGTCATCATAACTGACAGTAAAATAATTATATTACTGAATCAATACTCGATTAAAATCTTTAGTGTACTTGCCTTTAATAAAGGGTTGGTATTTTGGCTCATGAAGTTATTTCGAATTATCAATCTAATGATCTTTATGATCAATTAGGAAGGAGGTAAGTAACCCATTAGTTAAAAACAATAAATATCACCTTGACAGCAATATAACATCATAATTCATTTCATATGACAATGAGTTCTAAAGATATTTTAACAATCACTGATTAATTTTGATATATAAATAAACATAATACTTTATGCCTTCATACAATCATACATGTTCACATACAAAACGCATTCATACATTCCAGTCGAATCAATCTGATGAACAAAAACGATAAATGCATAATTATTATGGCCTACATTCTATGTGCAGTCTATGTCAATTAACCATTCAGACTCGCTCAGTCCTTAAAAATAACAATACCACTTTTGGATTCTGGAATTTTGACAACAGTCACATTCTCAATATCCGGACTTTTCGAAATTCTATCAGTTTCACTTTGATCGACTTTTATAGAATGTGCTTCGATCTCATCGTCATTTTTGTCCCATGCACTTCTGTAGAACCATGACTGTTGTCCTACAGGTTTATCATAAATATTATTAGGTCCATTGTTCGGTCTATTGTTGAGACCAGGATACGGTGCCCTTCCGTAGTATGGTTCCCGATAGCTGTTGAAACCGCTGTTAAAGTTTGGTCCGATTTGTTGTGGGCCCGAACTTGATGAAGATGAGATTGCACCAGCACCTTAAATATGCGACGATGGATTATTCATCACATATACACACATATAGTATACGTTCATTATCGTCCAATTGGCAATTTTAATTGGTTTTATATTATGAACGTTTTCTCAGAAAATACAAACTATTATTTGAGTCTCAACGTATGACTTTGCATCTGTAATTAAGATTACACATCCGACTAATTACAACTATAAATAATGCGAGACTTTGCTTATGTTTGTGAAAATCATCTGCATTATACAACTAAATCTTTAATGCTGTACAATCAATCATTTCTAATATTTCCTAATACGTATTTAAAAAATCATCTCTAAATCTTTTATTCATCCACACGTTTAAGAGAAAAAATAAAAACTGGAAAGATAAAATTTGCATCAAAGTAATGACTTTGCAAGTTTACGTAACCAGTTACTTTTTACAAAAATTACTTCATTTACATATTTACAGTTCTAATTTATTTTTATTACCAAGCCTGACAAATAAATTAACCAACCTGGTGCAGTGGAAGCAACAGATGCAGCAGCTGAAGCAGTGGCAACGGGAATACCATTAACGTATGTTACACCAGCGGCAGCAGCAGCAGCCGAAGCAGACGCTTCTCCGTTCGGTCCATTAGTCTGAGTATTGGAAATAGCGTTGGAAATGATATTGCCGTTGGCGAAGTTCTGCGAACTCGCTTGGGCGTTGGAGGTTGATTTCGAATTGCCGACACCTTCAGAATTTGATTCGGCATTAGCATTTGCTTGTGCGTTTGATTGACCACCACCATTGAATGATGGGTGTGATTGGAATGATGGATTAATCGGCCTTGTTGAGTATCTAGAAAGAGAAATTGAATTTTTTTGAAGCGAAAAAATAACAATAATGCAGGAGTTATGAATAAGTACTGGAGTTCAAACACGTGTATTTGATCTCAACGGAACGGGGATGCAAATAATTCATATAATAGTTTTTTTTTAATTTTTCTCTACGATTCAATTTTATAGAATTGAAAACAAATGATTTGATTCATATATAAGGCGAGAAAATTAAACGAAAATGTTATATTATTGAAAAAAATATTATATGTAATAATGTTTGAACTTAAAAATTCTACAAAATTATTATCTTAAACTCGCGACTAACATTCTGGTTGAGTTATGTAATGAAAATTTTGTTACATACGATTATATGCTTAGATTACACGTTGTAAACTTAAGATTTTTGGCTTACGTAAGATTAATCGTAAATACTAGTACCACTGCAAAAGTTTATATCTTATTTTCTCGCATACGATAAAAATAAGATCCGTCTTTTATTACGTAGAAAAAAAGAATACTATACTATGTATTACTTTTAACACCTGTGAAAATCGAAGAAGAGCAAATGAAATTCAAATCGAACAAGCTATCCATGCCACGAAACGTCCATTAAGTGACGTCGTTCTCTTGAAAAACAAGTAATAGTATTCTTTTCCTACACTCACGAGTGGAAACTAGAATTCTAGCACTGCTATAGTTAAATATGTATTAAATAAAAATTAGCTCCGCGAGATAAGCAAATCGTTCAAATGAAATATATAGTTCGGAGGTCACTCATATATAGAGTGAAAATATGTCTTACCCTTGATCGAAATTTCCATTGAACTCGTGACCACCATGGCCTCCACTAGGTAATTGTGTTGTTTGATTAGGCGGATATCGATTAAAACCACCGCCAAACTCGTGACCATCATAGCCACCACTAGGTAAGTGTCCCGGTCTGTTGGATGGAAATTGATTGATATCACCGCCAACAACATGACCTCCATGGTTATCATGACCACCAATGAATGGTTCGAATATCGGCTCATGCGATTTAATAGGGTTATTAAGTGGACTGACATGACCGACATTAGCCGCAGCATTACTGGTTGCATGGGCATTACCTCCGTCGGTCCATGCATGGCTTGATGCGTCTGCCTTCGCTGGGAGCTGATCAGGAAAGTAAAAATTATCGCTGCCTTGAGCTATTAAGTAAGAGGAAAAATTATTGTTTTCAATTATTTAGTACCAAATTGTCAAAACAACAAAATAAATATTAATGTTTAGTAAAATTCATTTATAATAGGAAAAATTTGTATAACAAATAAGCAAAGCTGATGCATAGAAAGATAGTTACCTATAATGTATATTTTTTAATTCTTTTATAATATATTTTATAAAGTGCAAAATTCTTTACAAAATATTAAACAAGATCAATTTAATATTCTTCAAATAATTTTCTTGTGAGTATAATAAGTAGACAGATAAATTTTTTTTAAATTAATCTCCTTGATAATAAAATACTATTTTTTATTTTCTTCTGTTTAGATCATCAGTACAACATTTGACGTTTAACTCATTATTTAAAAAAACAAAAAAGAGTCTTGGAAACAAAGTTGTTCACTAACAAAAATTTACTCCAGACTTGACATGAATAAATCTAAAAGCTATTAGTCATCTGACAGATTATTCATTTAAAATTTTAACGTATATTTGTTAAAAATTTTGATTACTCATCCAAAAAGACAACGAACAAACCCATCGTTAGCTCGTAAAGTACGAGTAGATTTAGAAACAAAGACTCACCAAAAATAACAGCGTCCCAGCAGAAAAAAATTAGCAACAGCAGTCTCATTGTGATAATTCGTCAGATAGATACCTTCGTTCACACACGCGCATACAATTGCAAAGAAACAAGAATCAACTCCAACACTTTGAAGATCTCTGTTGAATCTCGAATCTATTATAAGTGACGGCGATGAGACACACGACTTTCGTCCCAACGAAAAAAAACGTGACTGATCGAACGAGGCAAAATATTCTCCACCTTTATACTACACAAGGTCTTGACGCCGAAAAAATGCAAATGGAGGGATTTTTACCTTTTTCGGACAAGGCTATATCTTGCGAAGAGAGCGCAAACTCGACAACTGACGCAACCGGCTCTGACTTGCTTCTCTTCAAGTATATATTCTCTCCACCTCTCTGGAATTTCCACGGGCCGCGTTCATTCATTCGCTACTCGTTTGCTCTTGTTTTTCTACGCGTTAATGACACTATGAGAAGCGGTACCACGCACACGTACACGTGAGACGTTTTTCTGGAACGCTTGTAATATGTATAAGGATCCTCATATGTTAGAAGGATCTTTCCATGACCTGGACTGATTAATAAAATCGAATTGTTCAATAATTCAATTGTGGATTGTTAAATATTTGAATTCGCTTATAAATAAGCTTATAATAATAAAAAATTCGTAAAAGCAACATTTACCTGCGCGAGATAATTTTTTAGCAAGATTTTAATCTTGCTAAAAAATAGCATTTATGCTATTACGATATTAGATATTTTTCCAGGATATCAATAAAACATACCTTACTCTAATCTTTTCACACTTACGTCTAATCTTTTCATTTTATTTATTCATTATAATAAAAAAAATAGTTCTTAAACATTAGAGCTTTAATATGAAATGTTTTCATAAACGTAATTATTTTTGTTTGTGAAAATTAATTTTATATAATAGTAACATTATAAAATACGCTTAATTGTAAATAAAACATTATTAAAATCAGCAAGTACACTTACAGAAAGTTGTTTATTGAATAATATAAGAATAATACATAATATGAAAATAAGATACTGTATTTTTCAATCTAATTGTACATGGTGAATATCATCTTTTTATTAAGTTATTTACCCCATCCTATATAAAACAAATACCACGTTTATGAATAATTAACCATTTTACAACCAAAAAAACTTTAAATAATATCATCAAGTCTTTGTAACGTACCATAATTGCCACCATATCCACGGTTACCTCCTTGACCATAACCACTATAACCATATCCAGGTCCATATCCGTACCCAGGACCGTATCCCATTTGACCAGGGGGACCATAAATTTGGCCTCTTGGTTCTTCTATGACGATTGGCGGCAGAGCTATGCCTACTTTTGTGTAATTTTATGATATTAAATAACATTGCAACTAATTAAAAAGTCTTTTTGTAAGTATCTCTAGTGTTTCATTTATTGGTCGCAATGGTTGTTAAAAAATAAAAAAATATCGATATTTTTATTTTTAATAGTAATTTATTTATTATAAAAGATAGATTCTGAAAATATTCTATAGTTAGAAAATAACTAATAATTATTATTATTAAATATTATTAATAATTATTATTACTAAAAATAATAACAATTATTCTATGACTTAGAAAATAAAAATACTCACTTTGGGCATAAATTGTACCAAGTAAAACCGTTGATATTACAAATAAACATATTATTCTTTTCATTTTAACTGTATTATTCGATGTTTTGATGTGACAAAAAATAACTGAATAGATTTTTCATCATGCGAACTTTTATATACGGATGTCAGTGGAACTATACAATTGACATCTAATTATGAGAAAAATGTACGTCTTACCTTCTTCTATTAAAAATCTCCTTGGCTTGAAAAATTGACAATAATGATCAAATTGTAATCCTTCTTACTCTTTAGATATAACGAAATTGCACAAACAAGTTAACTCAATAGTCTGCTATTTTCCAAGTTTATAATGTATGATTGAAGTTACACGTTAAAATTAAGTTTGTAGGCATGTGTTGCATTAAATGACAATACAAATATATATATACATTTGCTGAATAATTTTATTGAAATAGCTATTATACTACAATTGTGTACAATCAACTCTTATGACATTTATATGAATCCTGAAAATAATTGTAAAATAATATTAATTTACATTTTCAATAATTAAGGTAAAAAATTTGACATCTTATTACCAATACCACCATATCCACCACGCATTCCACCACGTCTATAACCCATTTCTGGACCATACATGGGTCTTTCATAACCACCGATTCTGCCTCGACCATAACCCCCTCCAGGGCCTCCCATTAGTTCACCATATCCGCCTCCTTAATTTTTTTTCAAGTAATTACTTAATTAACTTTTTAATAATAAAACTTTTTAATAAACATTTAACAAAAATTTCTTTTATAACAGCAGGCACGTCCTTTGATAATTTTCATATTTTACTCGGGTGGTTAATTATATTAATGAATTTGGATTAACGGAGGTATTAAACCAAACTATTGATTTTACAATATCTATACATTTTTTGCATTGAATATAAATCATTCAACAATTGTTTATAAGTTGTATTCCTTAATTTATTGGAACAAATATAAAGAAATTAGAAATATTCATTTTGAAGATGAAATATTTCCAAACATAAAAGTTTTTTATAAATGCGCAATGCATATAACGAAAAATAAATTATCTTACCATAACCACCAAATTGAGCTTGGCAGACACTAATGAAAACAAAGATAACGATAGTAATTAGTAAGGAAATAAAGAGCTTCATTTTTAGTTTTTTTTAATCAAGTAAGTTACTTCTGTGGCAAAAGATCAACTACCAGTGCTTTATCTATTTGTCTCTTTTATATCGTTGTAGAAAGATGCAATAATTGATCATTCGGGTCAATCATCTTTGTTAGAATTTTACAATGAAAATTGGATTTTTCACGGTAATTTTACTAATTACCCATAAAATCACGTGTAATTCAGAGAAAACTTTATGTAAGTTTCTTGATTCAGCTAAATAATCCAGCAAACTGATGATGATGCACATAACTATTTCACAAGATGCACGATTTTTCATTAAAAAGAAAATATAAAAAATATTCCTATTACCAAATAATAAACAACATTAAAATATCAACATATTTTAGTGATTTTTCAATGAAAAAAATGCTTTAAATATATTAATGTTAAAATACTCATATCTGCAAACAGCTAACGTGTTCACGTAATTTAAGTTGAGAATGATAATATAATTTATCATTAAATTTTATTGACTTACTATGACCGTCAAAATCGTTTATTTATATTTGCAATTAACGCTTAATCTTCAAGCTTTACTAAGGTATGATAATTTGAATATACTTGTATCTAAAAGATACATCCGCCTTGATAAAAAAAATTTTTAAATAATTGACGTTTAATTATAGATGCTTAATATAAAAAATTACGTAAACAATATCAGCTCCAATAATGATGGATTCATCAATTCCTGTGTTATAAAAGAATACGCACATAGTTCTCGTTACTTCTTATTCATTATGATTGTCCTACGTTGTGTTTTATATCATATAATCAATAATTAGGTACATAATTACAATTCGACGTAAATGGATATTTATCATCTATGTGTCATTTTTCATCAAAGATGGAAAAAAAATATTCCATTGCATGATAATTGTTTATGAACTTTAGTCAATACTTAGGTTAATTATTAAATGATATTTTTTTAACTTTTTTTATATTCGTTGATTGAATAATAATAATAATAATAATAATAATAATTATTATTATTATTATTAATAATTATTATTATTATTATTATTATAATTATTATTATTATTATTATTATTATTATTATTATTATTATATAGACATATGTATATATACATATATATATATGTATTAAGCGGTTGTAGTAACAAATACTTTATTATCATAGTTAAGTACGAATACATATATTACATTTAAAACATCATTTTTTATATAAAAGTATCACAACATTAAATTAATTTAACCAGTCATTTCGTTAAATCTTGATCACCGGTAATTGCTGACCTTAATTGGTAATTGGTAATCTTCAGCGATTACAAGGATCATCATGTGGTGATAGCACTGGAGCTCGTTTTATCATAAATGGATTGTTAGAATTTGAGAATATTTTTATTTTCATAGGCGTAGGATTTTCAGATGGAACAAAAGGATTATTTAAATTAGGAGATAAATTTATTCTGATCGGCATTGACTGTGCTGGAGGAAAAAATGAATTTCCAGGAGTCAATTTTATTCTAAATGGCGACAAATGTTCCAGCGAAGATGATGGGTTTTCTTGATTAGAAGTTACCTTTATTCTAACAGGAAACATATTTTCTCGGGACATCGGTGGCATAGTTTTTAATATTTCCGCTACAAGATCGGCGAGAAATGGATTTGATGCGTATCGTATAATGAATGGTTGATTATTTGGAGGTATTGATTCTGGATGATAGAAAGGATTCATAAAAGGATCTAATGGAAAAGGTGATGGGTCGTTATTAGGTTCAAAAGGAAATGGAACTGGGATACGAGATGGGAATAAAGGCATTGGCCATGAAAGTTGATCGTGTTCATTTAAATTTGGTCGTGGTTCTGGATTTTCTTCGTTTCCTCCGTTTTTATTAGGATCTGACGCGGATTCTGGATTTTCGATATCGTCTACGTTACCTTCATATTGACCAGGATGATACTGACCATCATCACCTGGATTATTTTCAGGATGATATTGTCCGTCATCTTCAGAATCCCCATTCGGTTTAGGATAATCAGGATATTGTGGATAATAATTCTGTTTATTTTGATTCGGAGTAGTCTCTTCGTAATCTGGAGCTATACGGCTATCAAAAGAGATTGGAGTACTATTATCTTTGGCCGGAGCTTCAGTCGTAGTCGTTGTAGGTTTCTTTTTATTAGGTGATTTATGAGGACGGGTAGGTCTATTTTTCGTTGGCTTTTTTGTAGTTGGGGTGGTAGGCTCTGGCTCTTCTGGATTATCCGGATATTCTTCAGAGTTCTCTTCCGGTGATTCCTCTGTGTCTTCAGGCGCTTCAGTCGTAGTCGTTGTAGGTTTCTTTTTACTTGGCGTTTTATGAGGGCGGGTAGGTCTATTTTTCGTTGGCTTTTTTGTAGTTGGGGTGGTAGACTCTGGCTCTTCTGGATTATCCGGATATTCTTCAGAGTTCTCTTCCGGTGATTCCTCTGTGTCTTCAGGCGCTTCAGTCGTAGTCGTTGTAGGTTTCTTTTTATTTGGCGTTTTATGAGGGCGGGTAGGTTTCTTTTTCGTTGGCTTCGTTGGAGATGGGGTGGTAGGCTCTGGCTCTTCTGGATTATCCGGATATTCTTCAGAGTTGTCTTCTGGTGATTCCTCCGTGTCTTCAGGCGCTTCAGTCGTAGTCGTTGTAGGTTTCTTTTTACTTGGCGTTTTGTGAGGTCGGGTAGGTTTGTTTTTCGTTGGCTTCTTTGGAGATGGGGTGGTAGGCTCTGGCTCTTCTGGATTATCCGGATATTCTTCAGAGTTGTCTTCCGGTGATTCCTCCGTGTCTTCAGGCGCTTCAGTCGTAGTCGTTGTAGGTTTCTTTTTACTTGGCGTTTTGTGAGGTCGGGTAGGTTTGTTTTTTATTGGTTTTTTTGGAGCCGGTGTGGTAGGCTCCGGCTCTTCTGGGTTATCCGGATATTCTTCAGAGTTGTCTTCTGGTGATTCCTCCATATCGTCAGGCGCTTCAGTCGTAGTCGTTGTAGGTTTCTTTTTATTTGGAGATTTATGCGGTCGGGTAGGTTTCTTTTTCGTTGGTTTTTTTGGAGACGGTGTGGTAGGCTCTGGCTCTTGTGGGTTATCCGGATATTCTTCAGAGTTGTCTTCCGGTGATTCCTCCGTGTCTTCAGGCGCTTCAGTCGTAGTCGTTGTAGGTTTCTTTTTACTTGGAGATTTATGCGGTCGGGTAGGTTTGTTTTTCGTTGGCTTCTTTGGAGCCGGTGTGGTAGGCTCTGGCTCTTCTAGATCATCCAAAGAATCTTCAATATCATCTTCTAGTGGTTCCTCTTCATCTGCAGGTGCTTCAGTAGTAGTCGTTGGCTTCTTTTTGTTCAGTGATTTACTTTTTGGTGACTGTGTCTGAGGCCGTTTGTTCTTAGGTTTCTTTGTCGGTGGTGTCGGTTTATCCTCGGGCTCATCAGGATTTTTATCAGGACTATCTTCTGGTGATTCCTCATTATCAGCCGGATCGTCATCTGATGGTTCCTCTTCCTCTGCAGGTGCTTCAGTAGTAGTTGTTGGCTTCTTTTTCTTTGATGATTTATTTTTTGGTGACTGCGTCTGTGGCCGTTTATTTTTTGGTTTCTTTGAAGGTGGTGTTGGTTTGTCTTCTGGTTCATTAGAATTTTTATCAGGGTTATCTTCTGGTGGTTCCTCATCATCATTGGGTTCGGGTTCGTCATCTGATGGTTCCTCATTATCAGCAGGATCATCATCTGTTGGTTCCTCTTCATCTGCAGGAGCTTCAGTAGTAGTCGTTGGCTTCTTTTTGTTCGGTGACTTACTTTTTGGTGACTGTGTCTGAGGCCGTTTGTTCTTAGGTTTCTTTGTCGGTGGTGTCGGTTTATCCTCTGGCTCATCAGGACTTTTATCAGGATTATTTTCTGGTGATTCCTCATCATCAGCCGGATCGTCGTCTGATGGTTCCTCTTCCTCTACAGGTGCTTCAGTAGTAGTTGTTGGCTTCTTTTTATTCGGTGATTTATTTTTTCGTGCCTGCGTTGGCGGCCGTTTATTTTTTGGTTTCTTTGAAGGTGGTGTTGACTTGTCCTCTGGTTCATTAGAATTTTCATCAGGATTATCTTCTGGTGGTTCCTCGTCATCATTCGTTTCGGGTTCATCATCTGACGGTTTCTCATCATCAGCAGGATCATCATCTATTGGTTCCTCTTCATTTACAGGTGTTTCAGTAGTAGTCGTTGGCTTCTTTTTGTTCGGTGACTTACTTTTTGGTGCCTGCGTTGGCGGCCGTTTATTTTTTGGTTTCTTTGAAGGTGGTGTTGGTTTGTCCTCTGGTTCATTAGAATTTTCATCAGGATTATCTTCTGGTGGTTCCTCGTCATCATAGGCTTCGTCATCAACCGGATCATCATCTGTAGGTTCCTCTTCATCTACAGGTGTTTCAGTAGTAGTCGTTGGCTTCTTTTTATTCGGTGATTTACTTTTTGGTGACTGTGTCTGAGGCCGTTTGTTCTTAGGTTTCTTTGTCGGTGGTGTCGGTTTATCCTCTGGCTCATCAGGACTTTTATCAGGATTATTTTCTGGTGATTCCTCATCATCAGCCGGATCGTCGTCTGATGGTTCCTCTTCCTCTACAGGTGCTTCAGTAGTAGTTGTTGACTTCTTTTTATTCGGTGATTTATTTTTTGGTGCCTGCGTTGGCGGCCGTTTATTTTTTGGTTTCTTTGAAGGTGGTGTTGGCTTGTCCTCTGGTTCATTAGAATTTTCATCAGGATTATCTTCTGGTGGTTTCTCGTTATCATTGAGTTTGGGTTCGTCATCTGACGGTTCCTCATCATCAGCAGTATCGTCTTCGGTTGGTTCCTCTTCATCTGTAGGAACTTCAGTAGTAGTCGTTGGCTTCTTTTTGTTCGGTGACTTCGTTTTTGGTGACTGTGTTTCTGACCGTTTATTTTTTGGTTTTTTTGTCGGTGGTGTTGGTTTATCCTCTGGCTCATCAGAACTTTTATCAGGATTATCTTTTCGTGATTTCTCGTCATCAGCAGGTTCTTCATTTGATGGTTCCTCTTCGTCTATTGGATTGTCTTCTCCTTGTTCCTCGTCGTCTATAGGTGCTTCGGTAGTAGTGGTTGGCTTCTTTTTATTCGATGATATACTTTTTGGTGGCTGTCTTTGTGGCCGCTTATTTTTTGGTTTTTGTGACTGTGGTGTCGTTTTTTCTTCTATTTCATCAGACATTTTATCTGGATTATCTTCTGATGTTTCCTTGTCATCAGCGGGTTTGTCATCTAATTTTTCATTGTTGTCTATGGGATTGTCTTTTGCTAATTCTTTGTCTTTTGAAGGTTTTAAATTTGGTTTTTTATCCGGTTGATCTTGTTTATCTTCTTTCGGAAGGTCTGTATTGGATTCTTCATTATTTGGCAATGCTGTTGTGAATTGGTTTGAGGTAGATGATTCAGTTTCTTGATCTTTACTAGCATTCGTTTCTTCTTTTGTTGTCGCATTGGATGAATCTTCTAGTTGCGGATTATCAGGATTCTTATTTTGTTCTTGTCCTGGTCCATTTTCATCAGGTTTATCATTTACTAATTTATCATCGTTATCATCCGTAGTGTCTTTTGGAGAAGAATTTCTTGAATTCAGATTTGGCGGAGAATTATCGTTTGGTTTTTGCCCACCTATATCTCTTTTCTTATCAAACATCAAATCTTCAGGCACATTTTCGGATGAGTCAGAAATTTGCTTGTTTGATATATTATTCAAGTTCAAATTAAGTAGTCGGGATAGATTGGACAGTAACTGATTTCGAGCTGTGTCAGAATTAGCATTTCCAAGAGAAAAAGCATTAGCACTAGCTATGCCTTTATCATTAGTAGCAGTTGCAATAGCAGTTCCCCCAGCACCAGCGATTGAATTAGCTGCAATAATATGTATTCGAAATAAGACATACATTTTCTATAAAATATTAAATAATATTTTCCATACTGATAAATGATTGAATGCTTTGAATTGTAATCATTCAATTATTTATAAGCATAATAAGACAATTATCGCATACAAATCTTTTAACAAAAATGAAATAATGGAAATAGATTATTTGTACTTACCAATTGCTGCTGAAGGATTATCTTTGGATTCCCCTGCAATACAATGTGTATATCATAAAATATTGATTATAATATGCATAGTGGTATTTGTTTAATCTCATCTATATTCACAATATACTAAATAATATAGTAGTAAATACATTTCGTTCATGTCTTTGTCTAATCGTATATTCAAGACATAGATCCTACGTAAGTGAAAAAATTATATCGATAAATGTTCATATCTGAATATTAACTCAATAAAAGTTATATTAAGATTTGTTAGCAATAATGTTCAAACTGCTATTTGCTGTTAACTGTTTACAGTTTCAGCAAACAATTAGTGAAGATAATAATATTTTTTTCCATTTACTATATATATTGTAATATGTTGTAGATATCGATACATGAATCTTGGTATTATGTACTCAAACACCAAATAAATAGCACAAAAGATTGGAAGCCCGGCAAATTGTTTCTTATCTAGAAACGACACTATAAGCTATCCATTCATTGAAATACAAGTAAAAAATAACATTCACCTGCTGGAAAGGCTTTAACACCATAAAGTAACAATGGAATTAAGATCAGGTCGGCTCCTAAGGGAAGCCGCATCGTCGTGTAAACTTTGGAACCACTATATTTAAAAAAAAATGCACACTTTAAACGTACAACAATCGCCGATAGAGTGATAATTGAAAGAGCATAAATAGTGGCTTTTATAAGATCTGCCCCGCCAATAGTGGATGTGCATAATTCCCGGAGGCTGTAAGGATAGAGAAGAAGAGGAAGAGTAAAAAGAAAACATCTAGTCGCGACGCCCGATAAAAATCGCACGAACTTGATTTCTCAACATCGCCGTTTAGTCGGTACGTCGGAGCATACATAGATTACTATGAAGATAGTATGAGGATGACTGAGTTTTACTTAGGCGTGATAAAACCCAACGATTACGCTTGAATAATACCGCGCATGATGCTACCACTAGCGCTTCTTCTTCTTTGACCGTGGAAAATTTTATGTTTACGTAGAAAATCGGTTAATCGAACCGATTCTATAGAGATAGTCGCGCTCTGAGCAGGTGTATAATTGTACGATTTCAAACGATTATTCATTGTTTCTACAAGGAGACAATAATTGCATTATTATGAATATACGCATGATTTAACGGAACTTTGGATGTGGTCATGCTTGTTTTCTCGACTTTAAGTTTGAAAAGTCAACGTTACACGAACGTCTTTCCTAGGTTTATCAATGTCAATCTATGCCCAGATTATTATTATGATAATAAGAAAACGAAGGTAAATTGAATATACTTACGTTACAATTATTATCTAAAATAATTAATATTTAAACAATATTTTGAGTTTGCGGTGAACTTCATTTGCTTTCTGTTATAAATATATTTCTAAAAAGCTAGTATTTCGAATATTTATTGATATTGTTTAAATTATAAATTATTAAATACTATGCTACAACTAAATACTAACAATAATTTAATTTAGTTCATTGGTTATTCAATTTTTCTATTTATATGAAACATTTGAGCAAGAAAACATGTTTTCAACCGCGAAAATAGTATATTTCATTTGCATCGTTGGCCATCGCATAATACCTAGAGTTTGTAAATAAAGTGCTATATCGACCGGCAATGATGACGATATAGCATTATTGTAATAGCCAATTGCAGAAAATCGATTGCAATGCCAGTGTCTTTGCATTATCCGTGATAATTCTTTTCTTAGCAATTGCTAAGGTCATCTGATAACTTGTACTATGTAAATTATTATTCAATGTAATTCTTGCTTATTAGAATTGATACAATTCTATAATGCACTACAAATATTATACAGGGAACCTAGAAAAAATTTCATTCTTGAAAAAAATTTGTACTGTATTTATGTTATTAAAAAATGTTGATCATTTGCTACACTATTGAAAAATTTATGCTATTGGAACCTTCAGAGTAGGAAATATTTCATTTTTCTAGTAACATGCCTATTTAAATTTGAAAGTAAATAGTTGATTTCCTTTCGAAAGTATCTTGTCACGTAACCGTATTGGCATTGAACGCAGAATGTAAAGACCGAACACTAAAAGAAAATGAAAAGACAAAGAAAACACCCAACACACCTGGGAATCCCCAACGGTTACCCACTCGAATGCTGACCACAATCGACGTTGCTTAATAAATCAAGTATGATGTAGCTATTTTCGAGAAGCATTACGTTTCAGCTATATATTGCAATATATTTCTATAAAGTAAAGTTTTTCCAATAGTAATTAAAAAAATGGCATACCATAATTGTTTATATTGAAAATAGCTTTAGCTTATTTCACTGTATAGGACAAGTGCTACCTATCATTCAAAATCAACAAATATAAGCTACAATAAGAAATTCTTAATTATGATATAAATTATTATCATCGATATATATATTACTACCTATGGTAACATTTTTATTTATTTTTACAAGTTCAATAGACACATTTACAGGTAATTAATGAAACTTATCTACGAAAATTCAGTGATAAGAGAATATTGCTAGATAACCAAGGCGTTCTAGCATGATTTTATCGGGAATTCCAATATTATTATTGCGCAGCATAAATAATTTTATATCTGTTGCAAAACTTTTCTTGTAAGATAGACTTTCTAAAAGCTAATGTATGTTTAATTTTCCTCAATTTAAACACCATTGTTCCTGGGAAATGATACAAAATAATTTACATGCATTTAATGTAATGACATTAATATTGAACGAAGCGGAAATATTATATCTTCATAAATTTTATTTCAACAATACCGAGGCTCATGTTTATTTATTTATATCCCTATTACATTTCTTATTTATTGGTATATATGATTATGTAATATCCGCTCTATTATTCCGAAAAAATCAAGATTCAGAAATGTTTGAATAGACTCGGTCGATTTTTTGAATTTTCAAACTATGGAACTTAAATTTCCTTCTTTTGTAGTTGAAATGTGCATGAAAACCAAAATGATCATGTGATACATTAAAAGTTATATTTAGAATCGTGCGCAATATGCATAGACTCGTAATGAAATCATATTGATGAATTTATTATAAGTCTTAGAATTATAGGCTTGTTACATAGCGTTTAATAATATTTATCACGTCCAATTATGTAAACAAACCGTGTGCCGATACCGTGTATGAAATTTATTTGGTTGATCGCACAATAGTATGATTTCAAAATTTCATAGTACTGGTCCTAAAAAGATAGTATAAATTTTACCATCTACTCTAAAAAGACTGTCGAACCTTCAGTAGTTGAAATAAAAACATAGTTAAAAACTAGTTAAAAATATAATAAAAAAATAGTTAAAAACTAAAGATTCCAATTTAGTAATGAACTGGTATATTGATAATTAAATTGATAATTACAATAATAATGACTGCTACTGTTGCAAATGTGATCTATATGTGGATTTATTTATTTATGTGGACACATGTAATCATAATTGATATTCAATGTTTTACTATATTTTTTGACTAAATAAGGAAAAATAACTGCAATATAATTGATTACCCAATAGATTGTCTTTTTTTACATCTTGTGATTGGCAATCGTCTTACTATTGCGATCTTATTTATTGCAATTTTTCGAAATATTCAGGGATGTTATATACTACACGGCATCACTATATAATTTTATTATTTTAAATTCATATGTTAATAATCAGCTTTTAAAGGGTACAGAATATTAAAAACAAAGATATGATTTTTTATTGAAAATTTATTAAAAGCTATAAAGTGTAAATACTTTAATAATTAGTTTACATATAAGAAAATACATATAAAAGCCTTACAAATAAAGTATTGATCACAATCTGCATAAAGACTAAATATTTATACAATATATATGGTTTTACTATCAATCTAAAATTGTACACAGGTATTGTACAATGAGAATGATCTAATGATTACAAATATAAACAAGAATTGTCATTGTAAATAGATGATTAGATTTAAAATCACAATTGTAAACATCCACAACATTAAAAATTACAAATACTCAATTTTTTCTCTTCAACAATTAAATCAAGTAAATTTTAAGTGTACAACATTCAAACAGTTCTTTATCATCAGCCTGTTCGAAAGATTGGAATATAGATACACAAAGTTTGGCACTGAGTTATATTCAAATGCATCAGTATTTAATTTACTTTTATTCATCAGTATTGCAATGTTTTATAAATCCATTCAATTGATAGTTTGATTGAAAAAACATCAGGCACTGATGGTGTTTTTAAAATAAAAACAAAATTGTTATGTTGAGGCAAATTTTACGTCATGTAATTGACACAAATTTGATGTTACTTCACGATGAACAACTAAATTACATTCTACCTCATGAACTAGATATAGTATAGTACATTATCTAATCTAGTGGGAAAGTAGATTCTTATTTTGTGTGAAATTTACTCCCTAGTGAAACAAGGGTGGAAAAGTAAATGAAACAAGAACCCTTTTTTCAAACATGTTAGGTTACAGTTTCCTTCAAAACAACAAGGGGAAAACACTAATGTAAGTGCACATTTTTTGTCATGTGCAAAAAAGTCGTACTTTTCGTATAACATGTTAAAAATAGATACCTAATTGAATCTAATAAAAACATTACAAAATTTAAGTTTTACGCAAAGAAACATTTCTCTTAGTGTCATTAATAAATGTTGCAAAAATATGTAACTAATAAGTTTGAATATTTAAATTTAAAATACTCATATTAATTATATATTTACTAGACTCAAATTAATATATAATAAATATTAGAGGAACAATTGTATAAAATATTGTATAGCTCAATCCTAAAATTCGTTTAAGACAACTAATAGACAAAATCCATTTATCTATTATTATAAAAAATAATGTAATTGATCATGATTAATTGATATGTAGTTGAATTAACAGTAACTTATCAAAAACTTCTCTTTCGGAAGTATTATGTCTATAAAATTCAATTCACAGAAATTGCATCGTTCAATTTTAGTTCAGTAGATTAAAAACTCGTTGCTTAATTGGTACAAGATACCAATTTTGAATAGCAAGTTTGGTATTAGACATTTGTACCTATTGACTCTTGTAGAATTATTACATAAAAATGGTGAAATACTTTATCAAAATACTTTAAAAAACTTTGGATATTGAAAAATTCTTCAAATAAATTTTCTCTTCAAGTAGACCTGATTTCTAATTCGTTGCAATAATCATATATTGGTACTTGAGGTGGTGGTGGAGGTTCTCGAGGCAAACAGCTTCGTGTTATGGCAACAGCAAGAATAGTAATAGTTGATGCAGCAGCAATATGCCAAGAGAATGTGAGGTAGATTCTCTGCAAACTATAGATTTCAGTATGAAAAACTCTGACCATATGAGCAATCCAACTTCCATGCAGCAGAGTTAAAGCTCCAGTCAATAATTTAACATCAGGCCATACTAATTCCAAAGCCACAGCCAAACTAGTCAACCATACAGCATGTGCCAGTATTGTGTTGATCACAGGATTTTCACTTGGTATATTAGCATACACATACAGAAAGCCTTCAACAAAGAAACTTTGTGCCAACATCATTTTGGCCAAACCATTGGTCACATTATAAGGAAAATAAAAGTGTAACACATCTACGAGTCCTGAGAATGCAAAAAATAGGTAAATAGTTGCATGTACAACTTTTGGAGAAATGATGGCTGCTCTTGAGTCTGGCATGCCACTGGACATAGTACCAGCTAATCCTATGGCTGTTGCAATTAATTTCAAACTTCCTTCAATGGGATGATTGCTTAATGTGTTTACACAAGATGTACGAAATCTTTTGAATATTCCTAGCTTAGGACTATCTCGATTCAGACGTTGCTTTGGTGGAATGTACCACAATTTAGCATAGTCACAACACCATTTAAGACCAAAGGAATAAAATATGAAACCAGTCAGCAGATATGGCAAACTATACTCTTCTTCAGTCATTTTGATTTATCTGCAATAAATATAATAATGTAACATATTAAACTTAAAAAGTTAGGATATATGGCTTCCAACATTATCCAAGATCAACTATAACAGTATAATAATAATACAATCAAGAATTTAAGGGGTTCTTGCTAATAGAAGTGAGTTAATGAAAAGTTCAAAATTTCCTTGCAGTGTAATTGTTGAAATTATTAACTTTATGAATATAAACTGTAGTTTTGTAAAAGGAATGAGGGCTTAAGTGGAACAAAAGAATCGCTATAAATAGCACTGAGACGAAACTCCATAGTAGATTAGTGGAAAACTACAACTCCAAAACTACACAGAATTTAAAAAATTGAATTTGAAAAACTTACTTTGCTGGATACATGTACCACTCGTAAAAGAAAAAAAAAATACGTTAGAAAAAACGCCGAGCCTAATAAATCGCAACAGTTAATTTCATTGTCCTCGAAAAAAATCAGAGAAAGAGAGTAAACGTGCACTTCCGCTCGGCTACAGCTGCTGCACCGCTGAAAATATAATAAGTATAACATAACCTGTGATGATCAGTCGGTAAGCAAAAGCATTCTGAAGTATTTACAAGATTTTGAGATAGATGGAACTTAGTTGCTGTGAATAGAGTGCACTATTCGTGTAATACCGGTGTATTGTGTTATCTTTCTGTTTGCATTGATATAAAGAAGATAGCTGTTCTTGTTATCGAAGTTATCTTAGGGGAAATTAAACCTAAACTATCATTCTAATAAACCACTTGTTGATCTTTTTTCGTCACCCTTATAATATTTACGTATTTAGTGCAACTTTTATACATTTTTAAAAAATCAATTACAAAGCTTATGTTTTATGAATAATAGTTTTGATAATTTATTATATGGAAAAAAACAATTACAAATCAGAGAAATTAATATAGTTACTGCAACTTGTATAAGATTTTAATGTTGTATATTAATAGAAAACCAAACCTCAATTAAATCTTAAACATTTTGAATTTATTTTACACGTAAAGATAGGAGAAAATACAGAAAATCGTAAAGACGATATAACAAAATTTAACCTCACAGATAAAACTTTTAATAATATTGTAGAACATTAGAAAATCCGAGTCAATCTTCAATGTACTTCTGTTCAAACTTTATATTATGACATAACGATTTGCATATATTGGACATTTTCTCCAAATTGTTCTAAGTTTTCAAAATCCAGATTACGAATATTTTTCAAAAATGCCACTGAAATCAAGCATACGTCGACTCGGTGATATTTTAACTCTCTCACAGCGTCCACGACTACCCATACGCAAAAAGTCATCGTTCCACAAACCATTGCACCCGCTACAGCGACAAAAAAACTGAACCCTTCAACAGGCGAAAAAAGCGCGTGGCAATGCACAACACGGCGGCAAGTTCGAAACCCGGCGGCGCTCGGCATTGGCCGGATCCCGCACCTGCCCCCGCTCGGCTAACTCTCTCGCGAAGCCGAAGCAAACAACATACACGGGCAAAAGCCTTAGCTCATTCACGGTTCGCGATGCTGAGCGTACGCAAGCGCTCTACTCCGCCAATGTGACGCGCTTCGCCTGATTTGTTGTTTTTGTTTACTTTCTTTCTTTTTTTCTATTATTTCAGTCTCTTTTGTTCTCGTTTTGTGAAGCATCGAAGACATGGATGTGTGACTCTTAATGCGCAGGAGTGCAAACTCGATTGATAGTGCCTTTGCTTTGGTTCTTCTCCGTGACATTTGTTATTCTTTCATAATAATTAGTGGTTTAATTATTCTTGCACTGCTCGGCCATGCAGCAGATTTGATCAATGGTGAGTTTTGTCTTTGTTCGCTTCAGTCCTTTCGAAGTTTTTATCGAGCGAGGTATTCACGAGAGTTGATATTCGCCACTCAATTACAACGAATTGTCAGTCGTACCAAAGCCAATTGCAATTCCAAGCGTTTATTCCGCAAACGAGCGTAAAAAAAAGAAAAGAAAGAAACGGTTAACGAGCCCCACTTATCCCGAAAATCCTCGTCGGACAATAATCGAGTTTGACTTTTATCCCTTGGAAATCGCATTACTCCCCTCTATCCCCCGCCTCGACATAATCTTTCCCCGCAAAAATCTCCCAAGCCGCATCCACTTACATTTCTCTCCGCAAAAAACGAACGCTGAGGTCTATCGTAATTTCGCGCAAAACGCCTCAGTTTTCCGGCCCTCGCTTCTCTCTCTCTCTCTCTCCCTCTCTCTCTCTCTCTCTCTCTCTCTCTCGCAGCAAAAAGCACATGTGAGTCGTAAAACTCTTTCTTCTCTTGCTCTTATTCTTTGAGCTGCATTTTGATTGGTTATACCGCATAAAACGAGTTATTTCCGTACGCATATGTATGTGCACGGAATATTTATGCATATCAAATAGAATTATCGACTAAACTTTGCTGAAAAAGAATCCGAATAACATATAGTCAAGAATATGCTAATTTTCAAGTTTTCAATACACATGTTATTATTATCGAAAAAGAAACTGCGACATGACATTTGTGAAAAAAATACACGTAAAATTACGCACAACCGGTGTCATTTCAAAAGGTAACATTGTCGGTCAGCGATAAGAGACTTTACATGCAAGGAATAATGCGTTACTCAAAACTCTATATCTATATCAATCGACTAAAATCGTACTTGCCTAATTGAGCATACCGCACAGTTGTTGCGTATAAATCATTACCAATTTTTTTTCTTTCCACCCGAATAGGATATGCACTTGAACAATTAACCTAGTCAGATATTATTTATTGATTTTTCCCATGCCGACTAAAGCATTTCTTTTCTTTTTTTTACGGAGATAAGTGACTTGTACATGTACACTTTGGTACCGGTAAATCATGATTGGCGCAATCAAGAACGAGAGCCGAAGATTAACGATTTGCGAATTGTCAAGGAAACAAACAAAAAAGGTTGTTTTTATGTTCACCCTTATCACACAGACACATACACGCACACACACATACACATCGTGTGTATACATAGAACATTCGTACTTTCAATGAAATCAGCATTACAAATGTATAGCAATTTTCTATCGATAAAATTCTAACTGCACGCAACAGCAAGCCTCATAAATAAAAACGAAGTTGTGTTTTACCACAAAGAAAGCCTTCGTAAAGCAGCATATCGACAATCGCATATATATGTATATATAAGTGTGTGTGTGTTCGTATATATGTATGTATATATATACAATGCACCCGAAAAATCGCTCGCTCCAATCTCTTTCTCTCACTGTTACTCGCATGTATAAACGATTCGCTCTCCCCCGGAACTTTGATTGACGATTAGAGAAAGTGCATATAACCAGGGTGACGAAATGTTTTTTTTTTGCTTCGTATTGGCGACAACTAGGCTGTTACGTCCTTTAATTACCGCGACGCAAGTTTACGACGATTTTTTTTTCCGCTTTGCACTTTTATTTACAAGGCATTATTTATGAATTCAGGCCAGTTTTGCTAATAAACTGCCAAGGGGAATCGTGAACGCGCAAGCGATGGATTTCGTAAATGACGAGACACCGACGTCGTAGCTTTTTTATTTATTTTTTTGTCCTGCGCATTTTAATTGCAGCACACGGACTTGTCTCGCACTATTAAATTACTTTGAAAAGCACACATACGCGATTGACGTTTTTTCTACGAGGACACTGTTGATAGATTGCAAACGGCTCGTTTCGCGGTTTATTCAATAATTATTGCACATGGTTACGGCATCGATGAGTACAAAAAATATAACACACGTTTAATTGCCCTCTTTATTTCAGTTAAATGATGAATTGAAAAATGTGTAAGCGTGGGCCTCATAAAAAGGAAGAATAATTATATTTAGCAACTTAATTGACGTGTATGAAATTTAATATGAGCGTATGGAAAAATGTATTAGTAATTTATTTTTCAACTAAAGAAACAAAGAAAAAGGTATGTATTTTATGAAAAACGGCGAAAGTACATAGAGTGAAATATCATATAGCAAACAAGCTTATTCCATTAAATTACTAGTCGTCGAACGTTTTAGTTAAAAGGCAAGAAAAAGAAGAAAATGCATATCTTATCCGCGAAGCTTTTCTTCTCTACGATATTGAAATCTGTCCGCGCGCACGCGGCATTTCACGGTAGTCGCGCTTATAGCGGTTTGCGCTCAGCAGTTGAACAATGAGCAAAAAAAGCAGGAAAATAAACGACGGGAGGTCTACAATTTTTGCAATTCAAGTCGTCGCCCGTGTGCTTATTATCTGCACGAACGCACACAGATGCGAATTTTAAGCAGAACCCCTTCTTTTTTTACGTTTGTCGTTATATCGAAATGAGTATTATTATCCTGGAATTTCATCACCTATGTACATTCAATGATATAAGAAAAATCTTATTACCGGCCTGTTGTCCTCGGTCACACCGTTATAAGAATAATTCTTGTTCTCAACTCTTTTCGTCTCTTTTGCCTAATAGTTTTCTAAGTAATAAGTAATAATAATAGTCCTGGATGCATCACGAGACTAATATTCTCAACTTGCTAAACCACACATACGAACAGGGACACTTATTATTCTTCGAAATGGCTCTCTCTTAGCGTATCATATCCATGCCGAGCGTCATATTTGTCTATGGCTGAGTGAACTTGTTTTTCATACCGATGCTTGTATGAACGTCAACCGTTATCAAATACTTGAAAAAAAAGATCTCAGTACCAATCATTGTTTTTTTTGTAAAAATCTCAGTGAGAACATAAATAATTTTTTTTTTTCATCATTACGGTTGCACAAGCTCAAAGTGCACGTGGAGAAAAAAGGTTATGGCGAACGACACATTATCTAACGTTCGAGCTGGTTGAGTAACGCGTCTTGCGCGCATATTATTTTATATTCAATTTCTATCGGGAGTGTATTTTGGAGTTTAGCAGCAGAAGGCAATTTGGCCGGATGGAAATGAGCGGGAGAACCGCAGAGAAAATGAATATTACGAAATGACGCGCAGAGTTCACTTTAAAAACTATACCTCCAACTATAGAGGATTCATTTCAGGTATACGGGCGATTTGCTTGAGGTTCTGCTTAACAAATGAATTGAGTTAAAGTGTGATTTTTTTTTCCTCGCTGTGATTTGCTGTGCCTACTTATGTCTGACTCGCTTAACGGTTTGTTAAAAATATTCAGAAATATGCTAATTATCAATCGTATATTGGTATAATGAAAGATGCGTCTAAGGATCTTTTAACAATTTACTTTGCATATAATCGTTATTTAAATTAGAAATGTAAATGGCAACATAAGGCGAGTTGCCATTTAAAAATATCTTACGCCGATGTGCGCGCAAGAAAAGTGTGCTCCCGCGTGTGTCACTAATAAGATTCACGAAGAGCTTACGAAACCAATCGGTAGCCCATCCGAAATCCCAGATAAAATACACAACCTACAGCTTTCACTGACTACCTAATGAATTAGCATTTTGGCCTTATCAGCAAACGCGAACAGATCTGCGAATGCCTTGATAAAAAAAATCCGCTCGTCCACGATCTAATTTAGATAATTTACAGGCCGTTTGTTGTGCGACGTATCTTGGGAGTGTCTTGCGACTCGCGGTTGCAGGTTAAAATTCCTGTTGATTCGATTATTTCCGACGAGATGCTGCGCGTCAAGCGCACGCGCGCGCGCCACAGCATATTTATTCCCCGCGAAGGGCCGAGATAATGATCGAGGAGGCTTTGTGTGCGATTTCCAGTTTGCAACTTAATTATCAATCATCCTCGGTGGCAGATGCGATGGATCAAACTATGTACGCTCATTGCCGAGTATCAAAACCGCTAGTTATGAAAACGATCCGTTCGAGAAAAACACACACTCGGAAATCACATGTATGCACCTCCTCACTCCGTCAATTCTCTGCTCGGGAATATCACTCTGCGCGTACTCATTACTACTCCATATCCGTAGCATTTAATGCGAATTCGCGATTTCCGGGTGTAGCGCAGAATTTTCGGCGAATTCACGTGATAGAAGTGCTTTTAAATTCTGTTTAGGGCTGTAATTAAGGTGACGGGTTCGCCGATAAACCAGCTATTTATTGTCGAAGCACCTCGCTCGTCGCGGTGGTCCGTTTTTTTTCTTTTGCGCGCGGGATCTACCTTATTCACGTTGATTTGTGGATTTGATAAGCCCCAACACAAACGCTTGTATAATGAGCTTTTACGCAAATGCCCACATCCCGTCGGCTCGTTTCGCCAGTTCTCCCGGGTTACGTGTTAATAGCGAGATTGATAATATTTTATGGGCTCGCTAAACGCAAATGATTTATTAATAGGAAAAAAAAATAGAAATTCTGGCTTTTTTCCAATCTTTTCTTATTTTACGTAACATTCGATAAGAATTAAATAAATTACACATTGATGTACAGAGTTTGAGTCAACAGCAAATGTTGCATGGCATCGTGATTTAGTGATTCAACTCATTGTTTGATATTCATTATTCTACTGGAGATCTTCGTTGGTATCTTCAACGACATACGCTTACTAAATCTTGAATTAATCGTGTACAGATGCAAAAGCCGTCGTCAGACATACTCTCTCTTGTCTAATAATCCTTAACAGACTACTTGACTTCCGTTTGTAATTAAATTGAAAACGCTCTTGGACAACATCTCAAAATAACACGTCAGCTTACGAAACGCAAGGCACCGAATAAATCCCGTCGTTGCGCGCACAACTTTTGCGTCATCGTCTAAGCTGGCAATCACGACAAGCGCATATAATTATAATACGTACCGCTCACGAAATTAAATTTTTCCAGACG